AAGTATGTCACAGGTTACTAATTTTACCATATTTCATTGACCACGCAAGTAATAAAACTGGGGAGGGGGTGTCCTTTTCGATCTTTATACTGATGGTGACCAAATCCTGAGCACCATATAGACACATTTACAATAACAGATAACGAAGTATTACGTCAGTTACAAATCATTAATATATGTAAGCCTTCAGGTCCTGATCGTGTTTCACCTAAAATTTTAAAACAATTTGCACAAACATTCCATAAGCCTCTGACAAAATTATTTAATATATCACTTAGCAATAGAACACTTCCGAATATTTGGAAAATGGCCCAGGTTACACCTTTTTATAAAAAATAAAGGAAATACAGATGATGTCAATAAGTATAGACTTTTATAAAAATAAAACATAAAATAAGGTATAATAATGAATTTTTACTTTGCATTTCGCTAGTGAAGGTGTTCATGACTCAAACGGTTGATGAAAACAGGGACGTATGTACATGTACTGTATGTAATGATATAAATCTTTGTTTTCTTTTTTAATTGCTTGTCAAGGTTTTTGTCACATTCTAGGGTAAGATTTCAAGGTTTGTGATCCCCCCCCCCCACACACACATTTCAGTTTGTAACTACGTTACGAAAAGACCCTTTAGCCCGTAAACGCTGGTTAGTTCTATTTTGAGAAAGCGCGCAAATGCAGATATGCATATACGTAAATATTTTATATGAGAAGTAAGCGTTCATTAACATTTGCCCTGGAAATTGAGATGCATATTCTGTCATTTTCCTAAAAGTTTAAATGTAATTAACAAGTGCTTAAACTAGATTTCATTTTAAAAAATTAGCCCAGGTTTCATATACGCTTCATTCGTTATGCTTAAATACTCCTAAGAAATTGGTTTGGGAAAAAAACGATTTTGATACATTATTGAAGGCTTTTTTCAATTTAATTTTGTTTCGGTAGGTTTCGTTTTGATTTCGTTTTGGTATATTTCGTTTCGTTTCGGTAGATTTCATTTCGTTTCGCATTTTACAGGTACCCGTAGTTTAAATGATGTTATTAGTGAAAGTTCCAAATGTGAATACTATGCTTTTCATACTGAAAATGTGTTTCATTTTTTCTCTGATTGTCTATGTTTAAAATGTTGAGCAAAGAAATATTATACATTTATTGCATGATCGTGAGGGAAATATGAAGATTTATTCAGCCAATAAAAATCATATTCCCCGAGGGTTTCGCCTGAGGGGTATTTCTTGGCTGAATAAATCTTCATGTTTCCAGAACAATCATGCAATAAATTGTTTATTATACTGAAACAAGCAAAAACTTTTAAAGTAAACAATAAACTTTCAAATTAGGCACCGCTTTTAAATTCACTTTCCATTTAAGGTCAAGATCTAGTAAATGAAGAGTGCCTACAGATTTCTCAAATTTGAGATACAAATTCCTTTAATAATCTATTACAATTATAGCTAAATAAATTGAGGTGTATCGGGGCATAACTTTTAGATAAACTCAACGTAAAAACATATTTTAAACTGCCCTTTTCAATGAAAAATGAAGAAAATCAGGTATAAAAATGGGAGTTTTCTCCATCTGAGACAAACAAAATGTTGCCTACAGTCTCTCAGTAGATGGTTTTTCGTATCTTCTTGACCTCTTCTTTAAAATGATATTAAATTGTTTATAGGTATCGGGATTCCTTTTGAAATGAATTCAAATTGAATTCCATGAAAATGTGTTATTTTCTACTTAATTCTGTTATAGCCGTAAAATACGGGAAAAAATAAGATTAAATCAATTATGACGTCATAATGGATCTAGCACCTAAAGACAGATTGAACTCATTTACTAGATCTTGACCTTAACGTAGAACCTACGTCGTATGACGTCACACTGAGAAAATTAGTTTAGACTGTTTTTTGGTGCTAGATCCATTATGACGTCATAATTAATTTAATGTTACTTTTTCCCGTACTTTCTTCAAGAATGTCTCATGTAATGAAGTTACACAACTGTGATAATGTGAATGACATGCAACTATTTTGAAGGAAAGCAAAAATCCCAAGACATCTAACTAGTACAATATCTTGATGAAAAGTGTCTGAGTCAAAGATCTGTTAAAAATTGTAAATTTTGTAATGTCTATCATGAAATGACGTGCATTCCCTTTCATAATTATTTGTTAATTATTCATAATGGTTGGTGTATAATAATGTTTCCCGAAAATATTATCTTTTTAAATAAAAAAAATACATTTTTTGATAAATATTCACATTGTAAATCTGAACGTAACCCCAAAACAGTAATTTAATAATTAAATCCTGTGTAAGTACAAAAAGGTCAACAAAAGAAGTATGGATAAATAGAGTGTTCTCATTCGTTTGCGGGGAAAGGTATATATTTTAATCACTTTTTGTAATTATTTGGGTATGTTCTTCATCATATTAAAGATTGAAAACATTCTGACAAAGACTTTTGAAAAATATTTACAAATTTAGGTGGTAAATTGACTCAAAAAATATTGAGCACATTTGCCTATATTCGTTGAAATGTGGACTTAATCTTTTATGTCAATTGAATAAAAAAGAATTTATTCTTGAATAATATCGCTTAATATGGTTCAGTTAATAAAGTTTATAAACGACGATGTTTGAAGAAGTATTTTAGTGATTTATTATATTCTCTTAATGACCAGTACCCTTAAAATGGCTGAAAATATGTAGTCGCTGTGTAAAATTATTCTTCCAAGTTGCACAGACTGCACTACATTTAATAACGAAGAAACATACCATATATTTTTAACTGATTGATAAGCGAGAGCTAATTTATCATTTTGAAAAGTTTGAAAATCTTGTGACAAAGACTTTTCCGACATAGGTACTACCTTAAACGTAGTGTTGTCCATCAGCAATTTTGTGACGTGAACCAGACTATTGTAACGTCTACTCTCGGGAGTTTTCGTTCAACGAACGAAAACTATTGCAGGAAAATGCACTAGTTCTCCGAAGAGGTTGAATATGATGAAAAGCATGACGAAGAGAGGGAAATATGAAGTTTTATGGCCCTGTCACGTGATAATCTCAAACCAATCAGATAACGCGCTGTATAGAATAATTAAAATGAGGTACAACAATATTCTTAATTGTATATCTAAGAAACCTGAGGATGCTTCCATATAAATATGGTCATAGCTTTGCTGTTCTTGAGATTTTTTCGATGTAAAACTTTGTTAGCTCATTGTGACCCAACCCTAGCCCATGGGGTGTTAAGGACATTGGCAAGGTTCCTGGTTTTCGTATAGAATTTTTCAAGAACTCTTGAGTAGGTTTAAATGTATCAAACAGGTTATATTCTGGATCGTTTAACCCATAGGGACTTGAGACAATCTTAGCAAATTCGGGTATATAGCATACCCCGGAGAAGCTCCCCTATTATACTATATACCCGATTTTGCTAAGATTGTCTCAAGTCCCTGTGGTTTAAGCTACCAAGCCAACCTTCTTTTTAGATTTTGTCAAATCAGTGTTTTTGCAATTCTCAATGCATTTCCTACGTAAAATGTTTTCATATTTCTCCAATGCCCACTTATTTCATATAGTTTTTGTATTATATACATTACTGTATCTGTATTTCCTATGACTTCTAGATATTTTGGCTGAAAATGTATATATAGAAAGAAGACAAGGACATACCGGTGTAACCGTGATTTGTCAGCACCGATCTTTATTATACCCCCCGCTTGAAAAGTGGGAGGGTATATAGTGATCGGGGTGTCCGTCCTTCCGTCCGTCTGTCTGTTACGCTTTGGGGTACCTATCTCTTATCCGCAACTCCTCTTATACCACTGAATGAAATTTAATGAGACTTTCACGGAATCTTTGTTACATAGTGCCATTGTGCACCTCCTATTTTACTTTTTGATCTGACACTCATTTCGGGTCTCCCAGGGCAAAACATGGACTTTGCCATTATAACCATATGGGAGGCGGAGGTATCATTTAGTGAGCTCAGTGCTCACAGTACCTCTAGTTTTTGAGTTACTTCCCTTAACAGCGATAATTACATATTATTCATAATGGTCAATAGAGTCAGACTGGTTGATTGTTTCTATCATGTAATTGACTGAATTGATTGAAACACACTGTCATAAAAATATTGGCATGGATTTATTTTAATCCTTATTCATAGTTACTAAATGCTGCTTCCTTCATACAACCTAAGAACCCAGTCAGTCTACCTTTCAGCATGTCACATCTTTGCCCTTCCCAGCATACTGAGCATAACTATGGTAAATGACGACCTGTTGGCTCTCTGTCCCCTGAATACAGCCATTACTACTTTGTTTCTTGCTGTATAGATGATTCTATTGATTGGAACGGCAACGTGTTGACTCAAGACCCCTGAAGTTGTGAGGATGGGAAGAATCTACCCGTAGAAGGAAGTACACGTGCTTTTGTTTACCTCTGTAACATATGCTTTATTCGTTTTCACTTTACACGGGAGATCATTCTCCATCACTGCTACATGGGAGATCACTCTCCATCACTATTTCATAAGTGAAAAAAAACACGTATTTAACCTTTTTTCTCCAGAAAACCCTGACTTGCCAATGTCCTTAATGATCATAATTTGAACAAACTTGAATCAACAACAGTCTACCTAAGGATGCTTCCATGTAAATATGACCAATCATGGCTGTTCTTGAGAAGATTTTTCCTGTTGTCATATGTATGAATATGATCACCCATTGTGGCCCCATCCTACCCCCGTGGGTCATGATTTGAACAAATTTGAATCTACACACCGTCAGGAAGCTTACTCATAAGTTTCATCTTTTCTGGCCCTGTGGTTCTTTAGATTTATTTTTTTAGAAAAGCTCATTTGAGCCTTTGGCTCGGGTGAGTTAAAAAAAAAAACTCTTGAAAGTATTCCATATTTATTATGAATTTTACACATAATTAAGGCAGTCATGAATAAAAGAAACAAATCACAATAAAATCTATTCAATAATCTATTTAAAATCTGCATTGAGTATCATATCATTTGAAAAACATTAAAATCTTGCATGCATAGCTTTAAAATGAATTTTTTTTCTTGCAAGAAAATGCTGCCTCTAACAATAAACTTTTAAATATGTAGACAACTGTATAATAAATTTTCATCTTAATCAGTCTGGAAGATTTAAAAACAAAATTCAGATATGATGTATACATCATGTGCATGTACACCTGAGCTGAGAATAATTTAAAATCCCACCTGTATTTAACTTTTACCTGAATTAAATATATACATGACTAGCTTGCTGACGGTATTTCATAAAACTTGTATAACTTGAGTCATGCCTATCTTCCCGTCTTTAGAATAACTATTGAAAAATATTTTGAAACATCTATTTATTGATGAATTTAGTCCTGCTAAGAAACTCACAACACAGACATTCAGATATCATTATCATAGTGTTCAGTTACATATTTACCTGATGCATTCACTATACAAAGAGAGCATACAATACAGTTCTAATGAGGAATTAAGTAGATAAAACCGTGAATGTAAAATATTCACATTACAACTTACAAAATAACTTCACTGATGATATTCATGTATCATACTTAAAAATATTTACATCCTTTGATAAATAAATGCCAACTCTACATACAATATCTGTATTACTCTACAAATAAATACTGTTCATTAAAATTGTAGATCTTTTGGATTTTTGCTTAAAAAGACAAAAAAAATTAATGCTCCCTTGTTGCCACTGGAACAAATGGCTCAGCAAGATTTCTGTAGAGCAAAAATGCAAAAACAATGCCGAATATTAAAGTTATTCCAAAACCGAAACCACAGCCAATAAGAGATCCTATATTATTTTTTATAAAATTCATTGCTGCTTCTCTGCATCCAACATAGATAAGGGCTTTGTTTTCACTGTGATTTGGGGTATAGTATCTAGGAGGTCCGTATGGATTTCTTTGACAATTTCTCAACCAGTCGTCTGTGGAATATGCTCCTTGGTGCCTACAGCATGAAGTTGGGACAAAGATTGTGTTCTGGTCAATCTGGATATAGTTGTGTGGATTCACCTGTTTAAACCATTCCGAATCTCTATAGAGTTGCCAGCCCTGATTGTCTACTGCACAGCACTCTAGCATTCTTTGTAGAGTATCCCAAGAGTTTGTAACTCTCTTGTTCTCGGCATTATTTTCCACATTATTACCATATTTGTACCTTATGGTATTTTTCATGTTTTCGATCATGCTTGACCCAAGTTGATTTTGGAATGAAGCAGCTACTGCCCCAGCAGCGATCAGTAAAATGACGGTCAAAATGATAGTGATCATGTATAATATTAGAATAGGTCGATTCTGCATGACAGTGCCGACACATCCAACACAACTAATGATGACCAAGACGCACCCGGCAAAAATCAACAGGTACGCCGCAGTAGAGTAGAGGTCGGATCCAATCACATCAGAGATGAAGATTTTGTCCACAGCCTGCCACGCACCAAGTCCCACACATGCTCCTCCTAGTATGAAGAAAATTATGTTTATTATGGCTAGATAGATCCTCAACTTTCCCCTCGAGAGAAGTCCCATTCTGAACGCTGAGATTTTCTGAATTACACAATACCAGATTTTTCTATGTTTGTCTTCTCCGATATTCACATATTCCACTTATCCAACAAAACGTCCAAGCGTCTCACAAAGACGTCCTGATATCTAATCGATCTATGGCTCGGGGACAGAAGATGACCGGCCTCACCTTTTTTCGAATTCAGTGCTTTCTTGAGTAATCAGGTGTTAAACTGGTACTCATAGCAAGTAAAGATTTCTGTATAAAATGACAAGTGATTATTCAACCGTTAATTTATTTGGGACCCAGTTTAATGTCATACCGGAAATCAGGTGAAAATTACTCAGGTGTGCAAATCACAGGTATGGTTAAGCCGTACTTCGTTACTTCGAAAAAACAAAAATAACTCCACAAGATCAAAAGTAAGAACAACTGAAGTAAATCCATGAATTCCTCTGTGTGTGAGAGTGTCTGTGTGTGTTGGGGGTGTGTGGGTGTGGTAATGCTACTTAAAATTGGTTTAAAAGGGTAAAAAAAAAATCATAATTTCCATACGTTTTTTAATCATATACATACGAATTGTTAGAATATTACACACACCACAGCTCAGCGCATCTGAGATCTATGCAAAATCAGACTTTCTTATTCATTATTAATAATTATTTATAAGCCATATACTGTATATTTGTGAATGTAAAAACAACCTACTTAAGTATCAATATATATATATATATATATATATATATATATATATATATATATATATTCTATGATGAAAAATTATCATTGACTGTAAATATCATTTTCAACATAAAGAATACCTTAACAAAGACAGGAGGACAAACTTTTTTTTTTACCCCCTCCCCAGTTGTCTTTCCTTTTTTTCCCTTCCCAAATCTCTCCTTATCTACAGCATAATTGTCAAAAGATTAGAAAATCCATTTCTTTATGGAGTAAACATTTTCCTTTTCAATGACATGGTTCAAAAAGTTGGATTAAGATTTTTTCGATCGGTCTATCAATCTCTCTCTAGATAAAAAGATTATTTTAACAACAAAAGATTACTCTCGAAAAATACTAGTAAGCCCCCCCCCCCCCCCAACTACTTTCCTGATATCACTGGTTTAATTAATCATTTACAGTAGCAGCATTATTTTACGATATCAATCAACGGGATCAAACTTTGATGTTATAAAATTTACCACATATTAAACATGATATGCAAAGGGAAAGTCTGGGAAAATAATGAGTTTTTATAACCAAATAATTAACCCCCAACATATTTAAGTGGAGGGGGTATTCAGATTAAGACACACAACATGTGCAATTATCAGACGGAAGACAGTATCAAAACGTTTTAATGTTATGCGTCCAGATCATGCTTAAACATTTTACAAATCCTCAATATCTTTTTCTCACTACTCTAACGCTTGCTTTCATTTCTCTTCTCTAAAACAAAAAAATAGGATTTTTTTCACCGTTGTAGCTTATTGTGATCAATTCTAAAAACTTTTCGATCAGAAATCTAGCGATACAGGCGTAATTCCAAATCCAAACTTGATCATAAGAAGGAAAGAAAATGAAACTTAATGAGACAACTTGCTCACAAATAGATAATCTTACATGTACATTTATCTTCTATACACAATTGAATTTTAACTGAAACCATTATCAACAAGCCCGTAGGAGGGGGGAGGGGGATGTCGTCACGGTTCAAAGTTTACCCACCTTATTTATATTTTGTATCAACCTTCAAATTTAATTTTTTTTTTTTACTAAACGTCAATCATTTAATCTATTAATATAACAAAATATTTAGATGGTAGCGGGCAAATGTCCTACGAGAATGGTTTAATTAAAGGTGCTTGGACACAGATTTGAAGTTAATATTTTTTCAAATTTTCTGTATAATTTCATGACTTGTATGTTGCTATAGCAATTGATTCTAAAATATAATAAAAATCTTATTTCATCTCAAAGTTATTAAAACTTCTATTTTCTGGACGCGTTGGATTGACACATCCTTGTGCTTTCACATATTTTTATTTTATTCTTAATACTTAAGAAAAGTGGCAATTTTATTGCGTATTAATGAAAAATATTAAAACTATAACCCTGAAAATTCAGAGTAGAAATGTTCGAAAGCAAAATCCACTCACAATATTGTAAGTCCGTGCTCAGTGGTGTGTGTAGAGTTTAACAATTGAACACACCCGCTGAATCGTATACATTAACAATAACAGAGCTCCTGCCCTGTTTACAAAAACAGTTTACGTTTCACGGGTGTGTTCAATTTGTTAAACTCTGTACATATCATAGAGCACGGATTGACAATACTGGTGAGATGGTTTTGCTTTCGAACATTTCTACTCTGAATTTTCTGGATTATAGATGTAATATTTTTCATTTATACATAACAAAATCGCTTCTTTTCTTAAATATTAAGGATAAAGTTAAAATTTGTGTAAGTGCAAAGATGTGTTAATCAAACGCGTCCCGGAATTCGTAGTTCCAATAATTTTCAGATAAAATAAGTTTTTAATTATATTTTCGTGTGAAATGTTATTGCAATATATAAGTCGTGATATTATACAGAAAATTTGAGAAAATATTAATTTCAAATCTGTGTCTAAGCACCTTTAAGGACATACACAACGTAGTTTTGAACTTTTTCTCTGTTTAATCTGAGAGTTCCAATAATTGAAGGACCTTAGTGCAATTTTATTATGCCTGGTAATGCTGTACACTTTCTCTAAATCAATTCTTTAATAAATATAAGTAAAACTACTTTTTTTGTTTACGTTTCCTTAAAAAAAAAAAGATACCCAAGGATATCTGTTCAGAATCCTGGTATTGCATGCTGATTTTTTTGTCAAAGAACATCTAATGATAGTATGATTTAAAATTAAGAATAGTAGTACCTCAGAAATTTATCAGTGGGAAAGGTACATAGTAAAGATTCACTCTGCCGCTGTCCGCAACAGTGATTTCCTTAAGAACCGGCTACTGGCCAAATTGACCACTTTAACTGATAAAAATGCCGCTTAGAAATTTAAAAAGAAGAAGAAAAAAAAACCAAAAGAAAACATCAAAATAATTGTTATAAGGTTCACAGAGATTTTGTTCATAAACCTCAACCTCTAGCCTGTTACAATTGATCTCTAACCCTTTACTTTGAAATAATGGGAAAACATGAAAGTACAGAAACATGTGGATTATGTACGACCTTTAGCTACAGATTCGCTCTTTTCAGTGATTGCTTTATCAATATCCATGAATTAAAAAAAAAGGTGGATTCAGTTCCAACAGAGAGATTGTAAAAAAAGTGTTTACAGTTATTGAGATATTCTCAGACATACAAAAAATTCGTTTCTTATTGAGTTAACCATTTATTTCATGATGCCTATTAATTATCCCATTGGGACCGATGTAAAAGTAACCGTACAATGAATTCTAGCAAATGCATGTACAACTGACAAAACAAACAAAAGACCAAAGGGCCTTAACGGTCACCTGAGTATCATACAACCCTGTAAAGGATCCATGGAATTATAAATAATTATATAATAACAAAAAATAAAAACAAGAGAAAAAGGTGCAGGGATCAACAAAATAGTTAGACTGGTAATCAGCAAGAACTCAGAAACTTGCTTGTATATGCCAGTGCTATCTACATCCTATCACTATCATCAAACAGTGCTTTAAAGCATAAAACACAACATTTACAAAGTACATCCAGCATGATCCCCACGTATCACTGGCCCCTCTTAGTCTTTGAATAATATTTAATGTACATAAAAGTATATAAGGTATTTTTGTCTCATTTTTTTAACCATCTAATATTTATTTCTACCTGACTATTAAAAACTATGAAGGTACTTTATCTATTATGTATTGAAAATTCTTGCATTATTGTTTTATTTAGTTTACCTATCAATTACATTATTTGCATTGAATAATTTCTCTTAAAGCAGAGTAACCATGAAATTCACAATTTTTGTTCTCCTTTACACATAGATGCTATATGCTAAAATTGGTTGAAACTGGCTGGTTCAACGGTTCCAGAGAAGAAGCTGAAAATGTCCAAATGTTAACAGACAACGTGCGACAAACAAACATGGACAAAAACAGATAGCAATAGGTCATTGAGCGACTCAGGTGACCTAAAAATTAAGATTTAAAAATCATCATAACTTGACGTCAACACCCACAGCTTCAGAGATGTTATTAAAACCATCACGTCTGAAAAGAGACAAAATTATGCAACAAGATAAAAAAAAAACACTTCTCCTGTAGAAATTAACTGATGAAATACAAGTGCCCAGAAATGTTTTCTTTTTGCAATAGAACAGACTTCTTTAAATATGGGTTGTGAACAGTTCTCAGATTCTAGGTGTACTCTGTACATTGAGTAACATTAGCACACAAAAAAATGAATATACAAGGTTGGTCATTTTGCCATTGTCCTTGCAGCAACATGCATATCATGTACAAGTGTAAAATATGCAAGGTTATTTTGTGATGTAATTTATTGCATTTTACAATTGCTTTATAACCAGACAAGTAAAACTAATTGAGAAAAAGTATGATTATTATCTTTTAACAACTGAAGTGGAAATGTACATACTGCAGAAAAAAAATCATCATGTTATATTTTTTACAGCTCTGGTGTTGATATGATTTTATGCAATACTACAAGCTTAAGGACCCTCTATACACTTAAGGAAACTATTTTTTGGACATTGAGAAAATTATAGTATGTAAAGGTGTAAGCATTGAGCTTATCTATCACATTTTCAGCATAGGGTGCCTTGCATTTACCCCCAGGAAAAATGTTCAAAGTCAATGAAGTACTGATGAACATAAATCACTGTTGTTTACTTAAGTGGGAAGAAGTGTTCTATCTATTCATCTTGGCCTATTAAAGTGTTATGAATGCTTGATTTGATTGCAAATTAAGTAATAAACTGTACATTTCAATTTATTTTATTCTTGATTAAAAGGCATATCACTCTATCTGCATAAAAATACCACAAAATCAGAACTCTCTAGTGTGCAGTGAATAGAGGGCTCTTAAATGGCAATATAGCTATAAACATTTACAAACTGAGAAATGACCACGACCTACATTTGGTTGCCAGTCAGAAGAAATGTTAATTACTGTGGTACTTACTTGAGTAATTCCTCGAGTTCCCGCTTGATTTTCTTGACAACTGGAGGTCCTTCATAAATAAGAGCTGTGTAGAGCTGAATGAGACTAGCACCAGACCGGATTTTCCTATATGCCTCTTCCCCAGAATTTACCCCTCCTACCCCTATGATTGGGACTGTACCTAACAAATTATAAAAACAATCTACATCAATTATTTTGTTTTATTAAATCTCTCAGTCCCTAGAAAACCTTTATATGTAACTAAACTTCTATATGCTTACAGAGTGTTTCAAGGGTTTGACATTTTAAAATTTTTTATCAGTTCAAAAATGAGATAAACTGTCGTTTTCTGTCAGTAAGAACACATCAATGTCAGTTAAATATGCTGGACTGAGAGTTTTCAAAAAACTGACTCCAATGTTAGAGTAAATTGAGTCTGACATCTAAATACATGTTCTATTACATTTATATTCTGTACCTTTAGTTAACCTATACATGTGATTTTACATTTACAAGCCATACCTTTTTGTTAACCTATACAATCATGTGGTATGTGTATTACATTTACAAGTCATACCTTGTGTTAACCTTTACAGTGCTATTACATTTATGAGATGTACCTTTAGTTAACCTATACTATGCTATTACATTTACAGGATGTACCCTTAGTTAACCTATACTATGCTATTACATTTACGAGATGTACCTTTAGTTAACCTATACTATGCTATTACATTTACGAGATGTACCTTTAGTTAACCTATACTATGCTATTACATTTACAAGATGTACCTTTAGTTAACCTATACTATGCTATTACATTTACGAGATGTACCTTTAGTTAACCTATACTATGCTATTACATTTACGAGATGTACCTTTAGTTAACCTATACTATGCTATTACATCTACAAGCCATACCTTTAGTTAACCTATACATGTCTGAGATGGTATTTGTGGATAAATCTGCTAGTGGATGGCCACTCAGACCTCCTTCTTCATTTTTATGTTGACTCTTTAATTGAGCTGGTCTCTTCACTGTTGTGTTGCTTACAATTAAACCATTTACATAACCCTGGAAAAATTTATTCTTTTCAGACAAGGAATGCTCTAAAATTGAGGTTACCTCACAATTTATACACACGTTATCCCCATATTAACATACAAATCACTGTACAGTATCTGTTTAAAGGAAGACAACTCTTCCGATACCTTTTTGGAGGTGACCACAGCTGCAATATCCGATTTGTCCTGGTCTGTCAGATCTGGGGCTATTTTTACCAGGAGGGGTTTCCTGACCTCCATCTCATCTCTTTTTTCTATCACCTTGTTAATCCAAAAATAAATTAAAGTTAATACATTTATTAAGCAATCAAGCATACATGACAACAATATACAGGTCATAAACTATATTTTTTTCCTACATTAGGAAAAGCACAATTAACTAACATATGATATATGGGATTCATGTTCAGAAATAGATTGAAATACTGTACATGTACATAAATTGGCGTATTCAAAATTTAGTGTAATCACTGGGTATGGAGTCGTTGGCGTCATCATGAATTAGAGCTACACATGCCCGTGCCGTATATTGTATATATAAATGATTTCTTAGCGGTATTCATTAATTAGCGTATCTTTATCTGCGCCAAAGCCGCTAAAATATGAAGCCCGCTTTTTTAAGTACACATACAGTAAGCTTCTATAATTCTTTGATATTTTCAAGACAATTACGGTATGTCTTGATTGTTTAAATGTTAAGTCTTGCTAGTGAAAAATACAAGATTTACTGTTTGAATATTCACATTTGCCAGTGTTTTGTCAAATAAATCAATGCCAGTAAAATCAGAGGTTATTCCTGCATAAAGATGTTTTTCCGATACAGGAAGAGGCTAAAATGGATTGGGGGAGAAAAAAAAAGGATTTTTTTTTTAAAAATTATAAAAATTATAGTCTGTTTTATTCAGTGCCAAGTAAAGGTCTAAATTTGTAGCTCTCTGCAGGCAACTGGTGGTGTCCCAATATGAATGAAATATTTTCAAACGTAAAGCAAACAAACAAATAAATAAAAGAATGCCATCATTGAAGTTTTTACTTTGTCTAGAAGATTCTGTAGCTTTTGTTTTCCCTGTAAGTCTCTCAGCCCAGGTGTGTTAGGACTAGAAATATTGACCACCAGATAATCGGCAAGTCTGCTGAACTTTTGAACTCCTTGTGTGTAGTCACCTTCTGGATCACTAGAAGTCTTGTTTTTACCCAAATTTACACCTAATAGACATTCATCTAAAAGATAAAATCACAATGCTCATGTTCCAGACTTACTATCAAAAGTCTCTCTCACTCACTTGGAGCACATTAAGCAAGAAAGTTATCAATTACATACAGAACTATATGCGATGAAAGCATATTTGTGCCCCATAAAAGGCAAAATTTGAAAATCTCTTAAAATCAATGCAATTGTATACCCTTTAAGCAGAATTTTTAGTGATCAGACTTCAATTTTAGCATTATTAGTGAGGGTTTTAAGATCGCTTAAATTGAACATTACTAACAATTTATTCTGTATTGGTTGTTATAGATATTTTTCTAAAATTACTGCTCCCTAAAAATATATACCAATTTTTTTGGATAAATCTCTACATTTGCATCTTGCTAAAAATTCCACTTATATTGTATGAAAATTCTTAATTGTCAAAAATTATTATTATAGTTTTGAAGTAAATTATCATCAATGCTTGTTTCTGTGACGTCACAAACTATTTGAATTGTCCATTATTTTCAAGATAAAGGAAAATTTGTTCATTTTTGAGTGTAGACTTTACTGAGCAAAAGCTTGCTCCAGAACAATATTCACATACTTGATTGATATGAATTCTACACACTGTATCAAAAGATAGAGCTGGAGCAGACCTAAGCTCAATAAGTTTTAATCAAAATATCAATGTAAGATACACTTCATTGAAAATTTGAATTTATATCATCTTCTTGATGTCATATCTAACAAATGACATCATGGCTGATGAAAATAGGTAATGCTCTCAAGTCTGCTGATACCCCCCATATTTAGAACATAATTATAGATTTTTCCATCAAAGTTTGATTTGGGGGGCAGATATTGGTCCTTACCAAATAAAGTCCTTTGTAAAAATATAATGCTGCACAGTCTATTGGCTCATTAAAGCATAAATTTAATACTTTCTATACTAATTGAAGACCTTTCATTTAGATGAAGCAAAGGATGACTAAAATTTGACATACATGTATGTTAACATGTCTGTGAAGCACTTTTTGATAGACAATTCTGATCTCCAGAAACTGACCTTTCTCTTCCGAGAGTCTGTCTTTGAGTCGGTTATACACTGCCTGATGGCCTTCACTATTAAATCCATACCTACAAACACACCATAGCAATATACACTTTCATGTACCATAATAATATGCAAATATATGCATTCAAAATTTTTATTTTTATTTCAAAGTGTTGAGAAAAATATTCAATAAATGATAAAAATTCTAAATTTTACTCATCAATGTGTCAGTACTGTCTGAAAAGAACTAATTATATTATGAAAGAACCTTTACTGACTTAAGTTATAATTTTTTATAGCTTTTGAAAACTATCAAAGATAAGAACATTTCAAATATGTTTATTTAGGACACTTTTTTTACAGGGGTATTAGTTGTTTTTTCAATAGCGACCAACCCAAATTTCAAGAATTTGAAAAAAATTAAATTTTGGAATTTTTCTTTTAATATTTCACCACGAAAAATAAGACTTTTAAAATTTTTTTTTAAAAATTTAATTTGATAATTTTAGGATTATCAGCTTTTGATATGTCCCATCTATTGTTTAATTTAAAAATAAATGTTTAAGATGTCACATGCTGAACTCCAGCTACCAAATTATTTTTAACACCAACAAAACTTGAATGACCATATTTACTGCTTGTATACGGTACACAATATGGCTTGAATATCTTGTGAATTTCACCTACAGTAGAAGACCAATACTTCTTTTTATAGGATTAGTTCATTGCACAAAACACCTGTGAAGTTGATATCAATTTTTTTAAATACATGCTTCTTTGCTTATCCTTGACTTAATTATTGCCAACATAGGTGGAGTCAAGTGAGTGAATCTAGCCAAATCATCGTATTAAGAATCAGCATATTAAATATAAATGAGATTTGAACAAGTCTTGAAAGAGGGAATTTTTAAAAGAAATGTTTTCAATTTTGGGGGGTTGGGGGTTGGGGGTGTACTAGTATTACTATGACTTTTATAAATTTGGGTCTAATTATGTGTTTTTTACTTTATCATTTTTATGAAATACCAACCCAATTTTTTGAAAAAAAAAAATCCTTAAAAACAACTCATTAAAAAAAGGGCCTAGGGTAAGATTCATTGTTGAATATTTGTAAGACATTTACCTATTGATGACAGCTCCATCCTCTGTCAGTCTAAAAACTCGTGGTTTTGGATTCCCTGGCTGAGGTTTTGGGGTCACACTGCCAATTTCAATAAAACCAAAGCCAAGCTTCTTCAGACCTCTGACTCCTTCCCCATCCTTGTCAAAACCAGCAGCCAATCCCACAGGATTACTGAACTCTCTCCCAAACACAACTGAAGACTGAAATAGAGAAGAAAAGGTCAGAATAAAAACCAGCAGTCAGTCCCACAGGATTACTGAACTCTCTCCCAAACACAACTGAAGTGTAGTATGTTGTATGAGATCTACCTTTCTCTATTACCACCTAACTTAATTGGTTGCCCGCATGGCGCAGTGGTTAAAGCATTTGCTCTTGAGTCGTGGAGTAAGGAGTTGATCCTTACATCGGGGGTTCAAATCCCACACTGGGGTGTGGAGACGGTCGGTCCTTTGAATGAGACCATATAACTGAGGTTCTTTGTCACACTAGGTGCTAGCATGAAAAAGATCCCTCACTGCTCAATGGCCCTGTGTGCTGGTTATAGGTCTAAATTTGTAGCACTCCATTGGGAAGTGGTGGCATCTCCATATGAGTGAAAAATTCTCGAAGGGACATTAAACAACAAACAAAACAAACAAATTAAGCAAAACTTAATTGTCATTAAAACATCAGTGTGTAATCTGTGGTTCACAGCTTTGAATCTTGCACACATTTTAGTTTGGTACTCTCTGAAAAAGTTTATAAATGAATTTTTTTGGACATATATTGAAATTTTTGAAACTGAAACTGTTGAATATGGTCTACTTCAACCATATCAATCTTTCTGAGTCTCCAAGTGGAACAAATCTGTGAACAGATAAGGTAATAGAATATGTATACACCTTTTTATTGTTTGCTTGACATTTTAATTTTTACACTCTCTAACTTGAAATCTTGGATCCACCCCTGTAACCCTAGCAGTTGAAAATGTAAGTCACCAAAGGGAAAACAGCAAAATTAATTTGGGCCTCAACTAATTATGCATATCTTTTAATTCAGTTTTGCAGATGTGAAGAGAAACAAAATGCAAATCAATTTAAGGGAAGAACCAATTCTCTGAACCACTTTGTAAAGCAAATACTGGGTAGTATGTACGTGTTATGCAAAAAGATTTAAAGTTTATTTCTGAGGTTAATCTCTCTGATCACTCTTTCCACACATGTCATTTAAATATCAGTGAGGTCATATTTGTTTATATCCCAAAATGTTAACATGTACCGGTCATATCAAGCATGTGTGCTACATATTAATCCTACGAAGTTCTGAAGGGACAGTTTATCTTATCAGAAGCACTATGTCCCAAATTATGAGCATCTGATTGCACATTCATAGTTCTTTAAGGAAAAAAAACAAAAAGAGGTGAGATCAAATGCTTTCCATTCCATGTGCCTGGACTGTTTATGTAAGTATATAACTTGTTTTGAAGGTTTACATGATGTGAAAAGCCTACAGATAAAAACCATTCTCTACAGCTTCTTTAGGAAATCTCCTCTGATAAAATCCTGAACTTCAACAACTTGTTTGTTTTTGACTAAAATGCTACTTATGTTTTTATGTTTTACAAAATAATACTGTAAGCATGGCAGTAGGAACCAGGGAGGGAGGGGGGGGGGGGGTTGAAGATATAGTAAGTACATATGTACTTACTTTATGGACACAGTGCCCATCAATAATAACATCTAATGACCTTTTTTTTCTTTGGTTGTCAAGAAATTTTTGCTTGGAAGTACCCACCCAAGCTGAAATTGCTTCCTACAGACCTGACAAATAGCTCTAAGTCAAACTTTTTCCGAAACCTGTTACCTACAGCTTCTGGGTCAGTTGAGTACACAGTATAAAAAAATATGGATTGTGCATTATCTAGCTTAGGTAATTTCTTCCTTGTGACAGCATTAAATGATTTATTTCTAACATTTCTTAAAACTGAATTCCAAAAGTGTAATTTTGTCACAAAAGTGTTTGCCTTTTGATTGAAGATTTCTTCTAAAACAATGATGTATAACTTAACTTTTCGTGATATTACTTTTTTCATACTACTTTTCAAGAGCAACTTTTCCTTGCAGGTAAAGAGAGAGAACAGATAAAAGAGAAGAAATGCTTGTCAGGAGTACATTGTGCAGATTTTTGACCCACTCCTCCCAGAGATTTGCACACCCCAGGTGTGTCCACACAATACTGACCAGGAGGGAGCAATCATGGAAAAAATGTAAATATAATGGCAAAAAGTCTTCAGCTAAAAATACATGTAAATCTAAGTCTAATTCTAAATCTAAAAATATGTAAATCAAGATTTGTGATATCAGCTATTCAAGTGATTTCCAATAGGATTATATAGGGAACACCATCCTCTGGAATCTTGCTCAAATGCTAGCTGCAGAACTGTAGCTCTCTGGTTGAGAAATTTGGACAGATCTCTCTGAATTTTCTCAAGCAGAGAGCTACAGTTCTGCAGCTAGCTCAAATGCCTGGTATGTACCTCAATTTTTTGAGAGGAAACATCTTAAAGACCCAAACTTCAATCACTAATTCTTGGGAAAAATTATATATTTATTGAGGAACTTGTCATCTGACCTTAATGCACTTACATTAAATAATTTGGTCAATTTTTTATTATAAGAAAATTAAAAATTAAGTTTACCAATCCATATAATAGTTAAAAAGATTTTAAAAGCAAAACTTAACAGAATGTTATACAAGTATATACTTGCAATAGCGGTTACTACATGTACAAAATTTTCTGATAAAAATTACAAGATGATAAAAGCTAATTTCTGTCTCTTTACAGACAACGCACCCAGACCGAAGACAGCCAGACATTTCATCCCTGGATCTACCACTTTGTCAGGAGGAAGAGGTACCTTTAAAAATGTCAAACTTAGGACAGATAAAACAAAGAAGGCTTCACTGGTTATTTTTGACAAGGATGGCACTCTTATTGACTTTCAATCCTTGTGGATACCTTGGACCAAAAAATTTGTGGTCAGGTACAGACAATAATTGTACTAATTGTCACCATTATTTAATGTTCTACTTAGTACTGCAATCTTCAATCTTGATATTCACATTCAGCATCATGTTTGTATTAAAGTAAGGCTATACACTTTACAGGGAAAAAAGGCTGGAAGCACTTTTCTTTGGCTGTAGGTGTAGATCTATATACATATACTCTAGTCAGAAATTTTTTTAGATAGATGAGGTTTTTTTCTGCTTGTCCATCCCAGAATTCACAGCCTAGAGAGCTACAAATCTGCAGTTAGTCTGCTGCAGAAGTTATGGCTTAAAAAACCTAAAAGTAAAGAAAATTGACAGATAAACAGTAGGAAGAGAAGAAAGATAACTCCTCCATTCTCAGAGTTTCTACTAAACCTGCAGATGTGTCATAAAAGTTGTGGTTTTTTTTGCAACCTAAAAAGGTACATGTACAGCTGTAAATGATTTATAAATAAATATTCATGCTTGCATTTTTTTACCATTTAGGGTCCAAGAGGCAACTGGCCTGTCAGGGATAGAGAACAAACTGTATGACATCCTTGGGTTCTGCACTAAACAGCAGAAACTGGTACCTGGTATGTTAGCTGAGGCAACTACACCCCAAATCAAGGTGCTCAAATAAATATACTGCTCTACTTTGTTTCATCTGAAATGGTTAATGGAATTCCTCATTTATTAAATATTAGATAAATATGGAGGTAAAACCTGAATTATTGATTACAAGAAGTATAACTGTTTCTATATTGCACGTTTTCCATCATAGGTTGAAATGACTAAAATGTTGGTGGAAGAAGGGATGAATGAAGCAGATGTGAAGAAAATTCTTGAAAATGTTTGGACAGAGGGGAATGTCAGAAATCCTGAGGAACTCAAAAAACTAGGAGAACTTGAAACACTGTTCAAAATCTTACAAAAAAATAATGTCAAAATAGCCCTTATTACATCAGACAATCGCAAGGGTACTGATGAACTACTAGATGAGCTTGGCCTCACAGAGTACTTTGAATATGTGATATGTGGAGATGATCCTGACTCAGAACCAAAGCCTTCTCCTTACAATGCTCTCAAAATCTGTGAGAAGTTGGGGATAGACCCAGCAGACACAGTTATGGTGGGGGACACCAAAACAGACATGCTTCTAGGGAAGTCTGCCAAGCTTGGGTGGAGTGTGGGGGTCTTAAGTGGGGTGGGGCAGACTGGGGACTTATTGCCCCATGCTGACCACATTGTTGAGGACATTGAGGACATACTGCCACTGATTATGCCATTTGAAGACTGGCAGAGTTCTTATGCTTATTCATCAAATAAAAGGCTCCTGGTGAAACCAAAAGATCATAATCAAAGTCCTGCCACAGAAAAAGGTCCAGTAGACCTGGTGATTTTTGATCTGCATGGAACGCTTATCTGCATACATAGGAAATACCCAAAGTTTGTGGAGTTCTTCTGTTCAAGGTAAAGAATAAGAAAATTGTTCCTAATATTTCTGTAGTTCTCAAAGAGAGACTTTTTAATTGCTTAATTTCTTAATTGTTTGAGTGGATCATGGGTTTAAAGCCTAATATTTATTTATGTTTTCAAGGCTGAAGAGTATGACAGGCCTAGATATGATGGAAAAGTTGACCAAGCTTCTGGGATTAAATAAAGATTCAACAAGGATGATGCATGGGGTCCTGACTGAGGGAACACCCTCTGAGGCCCGAGGGGTTGTTGTAGAGGCCTTAAGGAGGGAGGGAATCTCCTATCAGGAGGCAATCATACTCGTGAACCAGATCTGGCAGGAAGGAGAATTCATCTTGAAGTCAGAGCCAACCCCGCTGTGTTCCAATATGGAAGAAATGTTTAGAGAGATGAAGCGAAAGGGAGTTAAAATTGCCATAAACACTGGAGAACCAAGGGAATTTGTTGTGTTGGACCTGATGAACCTGGGTCTGACTAATTATATAGACATGCTAATTTGTGGAGATGACCCAATCTCTCAACCCCGTCCCTCAGGTCATAACACTTTGCTGATCTGTGATGAGTTGCATGTGAGTCCGGAAAAGACCGTTGTGGTAGGGGATTCTATGGGTGATCTTCAAATGGGGGAGTCAGCATTTGTGATGAAGAGAATTGGAGTGTTGTCAGGGATAGGGACAGAAGAAGAACTAAAACCACATGCTGACTGCCTTCTTCCCAGTATAGATGGCCTCCTTGATGTAATCCTCAAAGAAGATAAACAAGCAAATGAACCTGGGCAACAAAAAAAGGACAAAAATGAGAAAACTTCGACTGGAAATGTTACCCCTGCAGCGCCGGGTTCACATCTGCATCAACCTCGTAGACATTTTAGTACATCAAGTTCTCATTTGGCACAGCTAGCTTCTAATAGTCAGAAATATGACTATATCATTGTTGGAGCTGGCTCTGCTGGTTGTACACTTGCAAATCGTCTGACTACAGATCCAAACAAAAAGGTTCTTCTACTAGAGGTAGGGCCAAAAGACTTGTGGCACTGGGACTCCTGGAAGATTTATATGCCTGCTGCTTTGATGTACAATCTCTGTGATGACAAATACAACTGGTACTACCACACTGAACCAGAAAAGAGCATGAACAATCGTGTTATGTATTGGCCTCGTGGGAGAGTTTGGGGAGGGTCATCCTCCCTCAATGCCATGGTTTACGTACGAGGACATGCCTTTGACTATGATAGATGGGAAAAAGAGGGGGCCAAAGGCTGGTCTTATGCCAATTGTTTACCATATTTCCGTAAAGCTCAATGTCATGTCCTTGGAGCAAATGACTATCGAGGTGGGGAAGGCCCTCTTCATGTTCTGCATGGAAAGTCAAAGAACCCCCTACATCAGGCTTTTATTGATGCTGGTGTACAGGCTGGTTATCCCATGACTGAAGACATAAATGGGTTCCAACAAGAAGGCTTTGGGTGGATGGATATGACCATTCACAAAGGTAAAAGATGCAGTGCTGCAGCAGCCTATTTACATCCTATAAAAAACAGAACTAACTTGACAACAGAAAATAGAGTCTTAGCCAGACGCATCATATTTGATGGTAAAAAAGCTGTGGGGATTGAATATGGCAAGGGATCTGATGCTCAAAGAGTTTATGGAAAAGAAATCATTCTTTGTGGTGGGGCAGTCAATTCTCCACAGCTTCTGATGCTTTCTGGGATTGGAAATGCTGACGACCTTCGCAAATTAGACATTCCAGTCATTCAGCACCTCCCAGGAGTTGGTGAGAACCTGCAAGATCATGTAGAGGTTATTTTACAGCAAGAATGCAAACAACCAATCACGCTTTATAAAGCTCAGTGGAAGTATCCTCACATAATGATTAAGATTGGCCTGGAGTGGTTCCTCTGGCAAACAGGAGATGGAGCAACCAATCACTTTGATACAGGAGCTTTTATACGTAGTGAGGCTGGTATTGAACATCCTAATATTCAGTATCATTTCCTAGCATCAATAATTAATGACCATGGAAGAGAGTCTGGAGATAGGCATGCTTACCAAGCACATGTACAAATCTTAAGGCCCACAAGCAGAGGGTTCATCAAGCTGAAGTCCTCTGACCCCAAGCAACATCCGAGGATTGTACCCAATTACTTAACAACTGAACAAGATATAAGGGAGATGAGAGACTGCATTAAGTTGACTAGGGAACTTTTTCAACAGAAAGCATTTGACCCTTATAGAGGGCCCGAACTCACCCCTGGAGAAAATGTAAAATCCGATAAAGAAATAGATGAATTTAATCGCAACATGAGTGAAACTGCCTATCATCCCTCTTGTACTTGTAAGATGGGAGCTGATTCAGACCCCATGGCAGTTGTTGATCCTGAAACTATGAGGGTTTATGGCCTGGAGGGATTACGGGTTGTTGATGCCTCCATCATGCCCAGTGTTGTCAGTGGAAATCTGAATGCTCCCACCATCATGATTGCAGAAAAAGCAGCAGATATCATAACTGGAAATCCACCTCTTGCTCAATCAAATGCCCCTGTTTATAAACCTAAAAGTCTAGCAACACAAAGATGAAAATCTATTACAGAAGCCCAGTTGTATTAAGTTGCAATAAGATGACTTACCAGTTATTTTCTCTCCTTATATTGCAATGGCAATTTGAAAGTCTCAACCAGTACGCAGTAACTCTTTGCCTATTTGAAATGCATTTTAATTTTAAAACTAATATTTCCAGGTTTACAAGTCACAGAACTTTTAATGGTGCATCTTGGCACAAAACCAGTTTGCTCAATGATACAAATTACCATAAAATGCATGTCATGTTAATCAAACTTACATGTACATGTGCAGGTTGTGCACAAGAGGAGATGACTTCAACCAACCATGATCCTTCTAGTTTTCATGCAATAAGCCTATTTGCTTTTCTTTACAGATGAATATATTGAAATCAGTCAAGGGTCAAAACAAGTGGCAGATTTAAAATTTTTGTCAATAAATTCTAAAAACATACCGGTAATCATTTTCATTGTACAGATTTTTTTTTATACATTCCCTAGGCATAACAACTATATTTCTTCAGTTAACATAAATTGCTGATATCCATAAAAGCTACACTTGAACTTAAAGTTGCATAAGAATGAATTTGCTTAAAAAAATATGTAGATACATGTATATATATGTACCTGCAAACTCTTGACATTGTGAAGCATTAATCTTTTATTAAGGAATAGATCTTTAAGTCCAGCAAGGTGTAATGAAAATTATCACACTGGCCCAATGGTTCACTGATTAGAGAGCCTGTATGGTCAGTAGGAGGTGTATGCAGGTTCTCTAGTCCTAAAGGAGCAGACTCCCCCCCCCCCCCCCCCCCCCTTATGCACACTTAGAGTTTACAAAGACACAGTTGGTGGTACAAGCTATTTGACCTTCGTTAGACCTACTGAATAATCTTGGCTGAGATTTAACTTGGCTGGGTATTTGAACTGATGCCTTTGTTGAAGAAGATGTCAGTTCAAATATCTAGTCAAGTCTAATCTCAGCTGAGGTCAACATATCATAAGTATATATAACTAATAATGTGACCTTCATTATCTCAATTTGCATAGCTTGAAGAAAAAAGTTGTAAACAGATTTCAGTGTAGAGAGTTAAGAGTTGCAGTTGGACAATATATACAGAGTTGATTGAAATTTATTTTTGAAGATCCTGTAAAGGATGCACATGCAGGGTATCTTTTTTATTTTCTTTTGGTGTGAAAAAAAAACATACCAAAATTGGTGAATCTGGTTTAGTCTGCTTACGGGGAACAATATTATACTTGGCTGCTAGGACTCCAAGTCTGTGAGCTGTCTCCGCATCAAAACATTTGTGTGTAAGGGGCATTATGATCTCACGATAAAACTTCTCATTTCCTTCATAAATAGAGTATCCAGCAAATGTAATGGAGGCCCCACAAACTATAATTGCCATGTCTTTTAGCCGCTTCTGAAATAAAAAATGTGTTTTTTTATATGACATTTTTTACAAATATACATTATGCAAAGGCTGTGACTGCCATAGGCTTCAAGATTGTTTGATTGAGGTGACCCACTGAGAATATAATCATTTTGTCACGTTCAATAAAAACTGGGGAACAACTTAGACGAGCTCACTTTTGATCTCAGTCTCATTTTAACTAGAGGAAAAAATAGGGCCTAGTGGAAAAGTGAAACTTAGATTAATCCGAGATTCCTCTGACTCTAACCCCTGCTTTTATATTTTGACATGTGCAGGGGCTCCTGTGCACATGTCAAAATATAAAAGCAGGGGTTAGAGTCAGAGGAATCTCGGATTAACTTAAATGAGCTCGTCTAAGTTGTATAGCCCCTGAACCTGGTGCTTAAAAATTTGCAATGATGTACATTCTAGAAACTCTGTTTAAATTGCAAAATTATTAAATTATGTTATAACATTGGACAAAAGATAACGATGTGGAAAGAAAAAGTACACAAACTCAGCCGACAGGGTTATGCAACACACACAGTGACACACAGCAAGCAAACATGACTATTAAACTAAATCAAATAAAAATGCGCTTACGGCTGATTTGGCCAGTTTCACTGCAGCATCTGACATACTGTCAGACCCTTCTTTTTTTTTTTAAATGAAGATGTATTCACCCAGCTTACGTAAAACCGCAGTCCTTCACTTCATGTATTACTGAATTTTTTATCTTCTTCGTTGAAGAGTTTGGGGGTGCTATCAAAAGACGAAATAAAGTTTTTTCAGGGCGCCTGTCAAAATACAAGAATACGAAATCATTGACAAGTATCGGAAGTGGGAGTCTTCCCCCATTCCCCCCCCCAAACGTTAATTTAGTATAAAAAAAAATGTTCATTGAAAGGCGGATGCCCCCTTTATTGTAGTCAAAACCACAGGTGCTTGAGGACAGGACCATGCCCCTCCCCCGATATAGACCCCGGGACGTTTGGACTTTTTTCTCATAAAATTATCTATCAATGTCATTTAAGGAATAACTGTCTAATTTTTTGGATTCATGATGTGATCAATCGAGTGGCTTGCGAGATAATTTGCATGAAGGCGTTTATGCATAAAATTATCACGCAAGCCAATCGATTGATCATCGTCATGAATCCAAAAAATCTGACAGTTATTCCTTATATTTATACATGCTCCTGATTCTGCAAATTTCTAATAGCCCAGCTTCTGTCTCTATTTGTCCCGCCTCGCACGTTTTTTTTTTAACCGCGACTATCGATGAACCAGCAGATTTATGTAGAAATAAAGTGTTTTTACAATTTGTAATTTTATCTCGGACAAAGACATTGGAAATGTAAATATATTTGTGATAAAATCCATACCACCAATTCGAAAAATTACCTAAAACAAACATTTTATAAGAAATTCTACCCACATTATATCATAAATCTCGTAATACGAAAGTCCACTAAGCTCATTTTTGTATTAAAATAAAAATACACATTATACGTTACACGTTTTTTAATCGTGCCAATTCCTACCACGACACAAGACCTCCGTTTTTAATGCAATATCCAAAAGACCCATGACTTTCACATATAATGCCGCGCGCAAAGCAAAAAAATTGAACACCTTAGTTTTGATTGAGAATCGAACCCGTTGGTCTCCAGATCACGTAGTGAGCATCCTCCTGCTAAACTACATCGATATGGCATGTCAAACGTTGCAATATTCAATATTTTCCATTTGTATAGTATAATTTTCCATTTTTATTGTAAACTTTTTCATTTGTATTCTATAAATTTTCATTTGCATTGTAAAATTTTTATTTGTATTCTATATTTTTCCATTTGTATTGTAAATTTTTGTTTGTATTCTATAAATCTTCATTTGTATTGTATTTTTTTAAATTTGTATTGTATGTTTTTTATTTGTATTCTATAATTCACCATTTGTATTGTATGAAATATATGAAGATAACGAAGAGTATATTCAAGCTCAAAAGTCCATTAAACAATACAAATTTTGGAGCAGAGCAAACACGAACCTCTAAAACATCAGAGGTGGGATCAGGTGCCCTGGAGGAGTGAGCATACCCTGCCGGTCATGATCGGGAAATAGCGGAAAAATCCGTCGACAATTCAGTGTGTAAATAATGGCCTAAAAATTAGCATGAAAAACGTCAGTCAGCTTTTGACTTAATGATAAATTGTATTTCCCGACAAGGTCATTGTATCGACCATAGAACTTACGAAATGACGACTTTAAACGAGACTGCTGATATTCTTGTTTCATCAACTTGTTTGTCAATAACTTCCCTTGTTTTAGAAATTGTTCATACGTAGAGCATGCTCTTGCACATCGAATCAACTGAGAGATATAAATTCCGCATGCAGGTGATGAAGGTATATTGCTGCATAAGTAAGGGAAGTTGACGATTGACAAGTTAAAGTCATCACGTTTATCATAAAGCTTGGTTGTTAGACAACCATTAACGTTTTTTTTTTAGTAAAATATCCAAATATGAAACAGATGTGTCAGGTTCTGTGGTATCTGTGGTATTTCAAGCTCACCGAGATATATCGTATCGACATAAGAATGGAAATAACCATTGTTAATTGACAATGCTTCGTCGATATATCTAAATATTAGAAATACGTATATTAAATAAAGAAAAAAAATAACAGATTTTTTTTTTTCATTTTATATACCGGTGTACGCTTAGCAATCTTTTTCAGTTTTATGTACCGAGTGCTCATATGATTAGGCAATCCTGTGTGTTAAGGATTATTTTTTGTGAAACAATTCAGAATAAGAAAGACCAGTCACGGTACCCTAGTGGTAGGGCGCTCGCTTCGTGATCGGGATGCCCGGGTTCGATTCTCGTTCGCCGATCCGATCAAACCCAAGACGTTAACATAGGTAGTGATTGTTCCTTCGCCAAGCGCCCGGCACTGGAAGTGAAAGTCACGCGGGTCTTTCGCATGAGACCTTAAAAACCGAGGTCCCCTGTCACGGTAGGCGTTGGCACGGTAAAGAACCCTCACTGCTCAATGGCCCTAGACGGTGACGTCTATATATGAGTGAAAAATTCTCGAATGGGACATTAAACAGCAAACAATCAATCAATCAATCACAATAACAATTTTATCTTACATGTATATGGTATATGAAATAATTAATCAAAATAAAAAAAATATTTGGAAATTTATTAATTTAATGAATTTAATTATTAAATTTATTAACGTTAATTTATAGAGTAAGACATTAACGGTGGGCATTTTGTAAAGATTACATTCAAACTATATAAAATGTAAATGCAACACAATTAACGTAATGAAAAGTTTATTTAATCCTTAATTGAAACTTTTTTTTTACAGATATTATTTTAGTTAGAAACGTTTCCTACACTTATAAACAAATTTTACTTGTACCCTTTAAAAACAAGCAAATAAACATGACTACATGGAATAGGCATACCCTCAGTTTTTCTTTTTTTGACCGCCATTTTTATCTCTAAATCAAGTAACTCGCATGATCGATGGTGAAAATTAAGCACCAAAATCATAAAATAGAGGGATGAAAGTTACTAGTACATAGAATTACATTTTTAAAAGTTTTCATTTCATTTTCATTAGACTGGAAAACGACCTTAAAGAGAATCATCCTTTGACCTGTGCATGGCGCGTACGGGCCGTATCAGCCGATCAGTGAGGTCTACTATGACAGGGGACCTCGCTTTTTTTTAAAGACCAATGACTTTCATATTTAATGCTTGGGGAAGAAACAGTCTGTACCCCGTGTTAACTGTCTTTGGTTCGCAGCGCCGAGAAAGAGAATTGAACGGGAATCTCCCGATCTCGACAAGGGTATCCCGAGCGCTCAACCACTACACTATGTACTGCGACATCCCCTATGTTTTAGACTGGTTTGATGAAAACAATGAGGCCATAGACAAACTACTTGAAGAAAAGAACAGGCTCTTAAAGCAAAACCTTTCGAACAAGACTCCAGCCAATACAGCTGCTCATCACCAAATGAAGCAGAGAGTGCAGACTGAACTAAGGCATATGAAAGACAGATGGCTTAGCTAAAAGGCCGAAGAAATCCAGGGTTATGCTGACACCCACAATTCCAAATGCTTCTTATCAAGCCATTAGAATACTGTACGGACCTCAGCCTGCTGGTACATCACCACTGCTATCAGCTGATGGAACCAAACTCATTACTGATAAGCCTGGTATTCTTGACAGGTGGGCAGAGCATTTCAATTCGGTTCTAAACAGGCCATCTTCAATCAGCAACGATGCCATAAATCGTCTACCTCAGATCCCAATCGACACAGCACTTGACGACCCTCCATCTGCCACGGAGACTCTGAAAGCTATAAAGCAAATATCCACAGGCAAAGCTCCCGGAGCCGACGCTATTCCAGCCGAGATTTATAAATATGCTGGACCACTGATGATTCAGAAATTGATCAAACTCTTCCAGTCAATGTGGGAAAATGAAACCCTACCACCGGACCTAAAAGATGCCTCAATGGACTTTTGCGAGAAGCGCTGACTTTTACAATCGACGGCTTACTTTTACGTTAAGATAATGTACGGAGGCTCTTTTGCGATATAAATATTTAGATGAACAATTACTTACAAGGTAAAAATGGGCCGTTTCAAAGCATATATTACGTTGTCTAGGTAGGGAACTGCAACCACCATATTCTCAACCCATACCCTTTCCACCCTGACCAACTCTTGCCAAGTTCCCCTTCCGGAACATTTTGTTCTTTCTTATTTGATTCCTTCAGCATATGAGATTAAAAGGAGATACTACTCCTCAGGAAAAACGTTTCTTAAATATTGTTATTCTACTTCTCATCATCTCTTGTATAATTTGTATATCGGGTAATCATGTTAGCGCCTCCTAAAACCATATCTATAACCCCTATTAATGTTTTGTTATCTTTTATCAATTTCGTTCCTCCGTACATAACACAGGTTTAAATGTCAAAGAAAGCCTTCGACTGTAAAAGTCAGCGCTTCTCGCAAAAGTCCAGCAGTCCACCTCTACAAGCGTAAAGGCAACATAAATTCCTGTGATAACCACAGAGGTATTCTTGCACGTATAATTCTGAACAGACTTCTTCGCCACCTTGAAAATGGGCTACTACCAGAAAGTCAGTGTGGGTTCCGTTCAGGCCGTGGAACAGTGGACATGATCTTTGCTGCCAAACAACTGCAGGAAAAATGCCAGGAACAGAACAGCAGCCTATACACAACGTTCGTAGACCTCACAAAAGCTTTTGATACCGTCAACAGAACAGATTTATGGTTAATAATGGAGAAATTTGGGTGCCCACCAAGATTCATCAACATGGTGCGTCAATTTCATGATGACATGCAGGCCCACTTTCTTGATGATGGCAACCAATCTGCTCCTTTTGGGGTCACAAATGGGGACAAACAAGGCTGTGTTCTTGCCCCAACGTTGTTCAGCTTGATGTTCACAGCTATGATGACAGATGCCTTCTCGGATAATGATCCAGGCATTGACATCAGACACCGTGCGGACGGGGGGGGGGGGTCTTCAATCTGCAACGTCTGAGAGCGAAGACCAAGGTCCACATTGAAAGACTGAGGGATTTTCTGTTTGCAGACGATTGCACCCTAAATGCATCAACAGAGGCTGACATGCAAACAAGTCTGAACAGGTTTTCGGATGCTTGCGACAACTTTGGTTTGACAATAAGTACTAAGAAAACTGAAGTCATGTTCCAACCGGCACCAAACAGCTCTTACACTGAGCCTAACATCTACATCAAATCTGAGCGCCTCAACCCTGTGGAAAAGTTTACATACCTTGGTTGCACACTATCCAGAAATGTCCACATTGACGATGGAGTCAACTCACGCATAGCTAAAGCAAGTTCTGCCTTTGGCCGCCTAAACAAAGCAGTATGGGGCCGTCGAGGCATTACCGTCGCAACAAAGCTTAGTGTGTACAGAGCAGTTGTACTGACAACTCTACTTTACGCATGTGAGACCTGGACGGTGTACCAGAGACACACCAGGAAACTAAACCACTTCCACACAGTTTGTTCTCCGGAAAATATTGGGCATCAGATGGCAAGACAAAATCCCAGATACTGAGGTTATTAACTGGGCAAAAATGTACAGCATCGACACCTTGCTACGGTCAAGTCAACTCCGTTGGGCCGGACATGTTCGTAGAATGGACGACACACGCATCCCGAAGCAGCTTCTTAACGGCGAGCTAGTAAATGGTACACGTTCCAGGGGTGGTCACAAAAACGTTACAAAGATTCCCTAAAAGTGTCCATTAAGCTGTTCCATATTGAACCTACCACATGGGAAAACCTAGCACTTGATCGCAGTGTCTGGCGCTCAAGCGTGAAGATGGGGGCAAACCTGTACCAGGAAAAGAGCATCAACCTATCAGAAAATAAACGTAAAAAGCGCAAAGAGAGAGAAGCGTCTGTCGACATTCCATCCGGACCTTCTTGTCCAGTTTGTGGAAGGACGTTCCATGCGAAGATTGGTCTTGTCAGCCATCTCCGCACTCACAGCAAAACATAGAAACAGACGAGATGAAATTATGGTCATCTTCGGTATCGAAGGACGAACTATCATGTTTTAGAGTGAAATGTTCATAATGTCCATAGCAATATCCGCAGCAAGTTTTATCCTACTAAGAATGTAAAGCTTTGGTTAATGTAAGAAAAAATTACTAGGCAATTATTATTCTTTTAGGCCGAATGTTGTTAAATTTATGGAAATAATGTCAACTAAAAACGAAAAAAATCCTGAAAAAACTATGTTTATTTCAAAAAATTATGATGCTGTCTGTCCTTGATATATTTCCTTCTGCCTTTTTAAAAAATATTTATTTATTTTCTGTCATTTTCTCGTATTGTATACATGTATACATGTATGTACCTCTGACCAATTTGTATAAATGTACCCCGTGTACCAGTATTTTGGTTTGTGTGAATAACTTGAACAAAATATGTCAATGCAGAACATGTTATATTTGTGAACTTGCGATTTGTCAGCTCGTAAAATGTAAATTGTACTTTCAAGAATTTTGGACAATTGCAGAGTTATATCCCTTGGGTTTCCATAACGCCATCTATCGTTAATTTACGACCATTAATTTAATTTAGGTAATGTCCGGTTTTTATGCGCCGTATCGAAGATTCGGGGGTATATAGTTTTTGCCCTGTCCGTCTGCCTAGCTGTTTGTTTGTCCGCAAAAACTTAAACATTGTCCATAACTTTTGATTGGTTGGAGCTATGGCTTTCATATTTTACATGTCTATTCCTTGTGACAAGACCTTTCTTTGGGTACCTTCATATCTGACCTTTTGACCTTGGAGTTTCACCCAGTTTTGCATATTTTACCGAACTTTAACCTTGGCGATAACTTTTGAACAATTGGTAATAGGGCTTTCATACTTCACACGTGTAATCCTTGTGACAAGACCTTCCTTTGGATACCAACAACTTTGATCCTTTGGCCATGTGACTTTGGAGTTTGACCTACCTTGGCCATAACTTTTAAACGGTTGGTGCTAGAGCTTTCATATTTCACAGGTTTATTCCTCGAGACAAGACCTGTTTTTGGTTACCAACATTTTTGATCTCTGACCTGGAGTTTGACTTGCATGAATTATGTGGAGATAACGTACAGTATTCAAGCTCATAGGTCCATTTAAGAAACTTTAACCTTCGCCATAAGCTGCCATACGGGGACATCAGTGTTTCACAAGCACATCTTGTTATACATGTATTTTAATTTGTATATTTCAAATAACTCTGTCAATTTATGGTGAATTTAAAAATTACCACAAGTATACATTTAGTTAAAACTGAAAATATTGTAGTGCATAAATCCATTGATATTACAGCCCATAGGAAGCATTTTCAGCGTCACAACCGAATAGACATTAGAAATTCAAATTAGTTATTAATGAAGGGGCACATGAGGTTAGTTTCTGTTATTTTTATGCCCCCATATCGAAGATTCGGGAGATAATATAGTTTTTGCCCTGTCCTTCCGTCTGTCTGTCTGTTTGTCTGTTTCTTTGTGTATTCCTTGTGACAAGACCTTTCTTTGGGTACCATCATATTTGACCTTTTGACCTTTACCTTGGAGTTTGACCCACTTTTGCAAAATTTTATGAGACTTTAACCTTGGCCATAACTTTTGAACAGTTGGTGCTTTGGCTTTCAATCTTCACATGTATATTCCTTGTGACAAGACCTTCCTTTAGATACCAACAACTTTGACCCTTTGATCTTGACCTTGGAGTTTGACCTACGTTTGAAAAAAACTTTTACCTTAGCCATAACTTTTGAACAGTTGGTGCTAGGCTTTCGTACTTCATATGTGTATTTCTTATGACAAGACCTTCCATTGGATACCAACAACTTTGACTTTTTGACCTTGACCCAGGAGTTTGAACTACTTTTGAAAACTTTAACCTTCGAAATAACTTTTGAACGGTTGGTGCTAGGGCTTTCATATCTAAAATGTCCATTCCTTGTGACAAGACCTTCCTTTGGATACCAACCACTTTGCCCCCTTTGACCTTGACCTAGGAGTTTGACCTACTTTTGAAAAACTTTAACCTTGGTCATATTTTTTGAATGGTTGGTGCTAGGGCTTTCATACTTCACATATGCAATCCTTTTGACAAGACCTTTCTTTGGATACATACAATTTTGACCCTTTGCCCTTGGCCTTGGAGTTTGAATACTTTTGAAAAACTTTAACCTTGGCCATAACTTTTAAACATTTGGTGCTAGGGCTTTCATACTTCACATGTGCATTTCTTGTGACAAGACTTTCCTTTGGATACCAATAATTTTGGCATTAACCTTGACCTTGGAGTTTGACCTACTTTAAAAAAAAACTTAAACCTTGGCCATAACATGTGAACGTTTGGTTCTAGGGCTTTCACATTTCACGAACATGTGTATCACTTGTGACAAGACTTTCCCTTGGGGCCCTTTGACCTTGACATTGTCGTTTTACTTACTTTTAAAAAACTTTAACCTTCGCCATAATTTTTGAACAGTTAGCTAGGGCTTTCAATTTTCACAGGTATATTCCTCGAGACAAGACCTTTCTTTGGGTACCAACATATATGATCTTTTGACTTGGAGTTTGACTTGCATTTGAGAAACTTTAACCTTCGCCATAAGCTGCCATACTGGGCATCAGTGTTTCACAAACACATCTTGTTTTTTATATGTTTTGTTTTGAACATATTTCATTGTGTATATAAATACACAGGGATTGGTTACAAGTTCTATTAACTTAGAAAATAATGATTGTCGAACGAATTAATCACAGTTGTAATGAAAATGTGAAGTTATACATGTTATGTGTACAAAATATTCTTTTCTATAGTAAATGTTAGTAAAAATTGGGGGGGGGGGGGATTGGGAGGCGGAAAGGGTATAATAAAGACTTACATGCACAATTAAACAATTAATTTTCAAAAACATAATGAATACAAAACAGATTAGCTAAAACAAATCAACAGACTCATTTGCGAAACAGTTTTAAAGCGAATGATCACCGATGCAAAACCAACAGTCATTAATTGAATTGATGCTAGATGGCGTTCAAAAAAACAAACAAACAGGAAAAAAAAAAAAAAAAAAAAAAAAAAAAAAAAAAAAACAAGATGTGTTTGTGAAACTCTGATGCCCTCGTATGGCAACTTATAGCAAAGGTTAAATTTTCTCAAATGCAAATCAAATATGTTGGTACCCAAAGTAAGGTCTTGTCTTGAGGAACATACCTGTGAAATACATGTATTACAAACCCTAGCAGTAACCATTGAATAGATATGGAAAAGGTTTAAAGTTTTTCACAAGAAATACACAGGTGAAATATGAAAGCCGTAGCACCAATTGTTCATAAAGTTACGGCCAAGGTTAACGTTTTTCAAAAGAAGGTCAAATTCCAAGGTCAAGGCCAATGGATTACAATTGTTGGTATCCAAAAGAAGGTCTTGTCACAAGAGAAGACATAGATAATGGGGAGGAAGGAGGAGAAGGGAAGGAAGATGAAGTCCCTCCATCAGGTTTTATATCAATTTTTTATTCCAGCATATTTACTGTGTATTTACTATTTAGTATGTTTATCTGTCGTGTTTTATTACATATAGTAACAATACATATCATTGGAGAATGGGGATTTGTCATTTCTTCGGCTTATATATACAAAGACACACATACTCTATATAGATAATGTATGGCAACTTGCTTAAGGCGGTCCAAACACATCAGTTTCGTCAGCGCACACATCACTCTTATTGCACACCTTTGTGATTAATTAAGTATATTAAACAATGCGTATATGCAAACAATTTGTTTTACATAGGTGAATTTATAATTAACAACAGCTGTGCACCGTGTCTGTCAATATGTGTACACTATTTTTACGTCTTACAATAGTTTTGGTGTTACTTGTCCATGGTAAGTAACCATTTTGTCAAGGGCTACAACTTTTAAAACTTGTGAATGCTTTAGATTCCTTACTCTGCGTTTGTAGTTACGGTCAATGCCAATTCGATGTTGGAATCTAAACTCTGCCAGTACCTGATGAAGATTGATTGTGCTACGAAGGCCGATAACCCGGTCTGCGGTTCTGACGGAAAACTCTACAGTAACAGGTAATGGTTTCAGGACGGTCGGGTCTGTTGGTTTAAGAGTATAGTGATTATAATTGGTCTTTTAAAAGCAGATAATTTTCTTTTTTCTAGTAAGATTGAAGTTTAAAAATAATTTAATCAAGTTTACGTATTAAAACGTAAAACAATTATCATGTTGCCTAACACGTCGGTCATGTAAATGTCATGTGCTAAAATTTGAATTTACCGGGTGGGAGTAAATGCAAATTGATGTTCTTTTTGTATTTACTCCCACCCGTTAAATTCAAAATTCAGAACATGACATAACGAAACGACTTCGGAGGCATCTTAAGGACAAATGACCCTCTGCTTTAAATTTCATATTTTATTTGAACTTCCCAGCAATGATTTTCATCAAGAGCTATATAGCATAAGATTCAAATGAAAAATAGTATGAGGTATGAAGCGCTGCTTATTTTGTTCAGAGATTATTTTTATGTCAGACCATGATATGAAGAAATTTTAACACAGAGAATAGGAAGAGTTATAATTTATTATCAAATCATAAAATTAGAAATGTGAAGTGTATTTATGGAAATAATATTTAGTGTTATACCTATTAAATTCATATTAGAAAACATAATGAAGCGCTGCTTCCTAAGTCAGAATATCACACTGTGTTCCATGTGCTTGTAAGAAAAGAATGCATCCATTAGCAAGAGCTTTCTTTCTTATAAATAGTTTTTCAATGGAAAAAAATGTTATACTTATAAAAATTCTACATATGGTACTTGATATATTAAAGTGTTTTTAAAATGGCCCTTATAAAAGATAGAATTTATTCAATTTGTAAGCGTTTTAAAACTGGATTTATTTTTTTTTCTTGGGGGGGGGGGGGGTTCAACTATAATAAACCAATTTGAAAAGTATAAGCAAAAGGAAATAGAAGTTAATGTTTCCATCATATATCAGGTTTGATCGAATTTTTGACTACTCAAAGGTCTCAATTATTAAACTATATATGGTAAAACAAACTATGAGTAATGTTAGGATTTTTTTTTACTTGGAAAGTTATCTCTCTTGTCAGAGGGTCGTCCCCCCTTAAAAATTAATACGTACAAATAACTAAATATAACGACGACAAGCTTGTATAGAAAGTATTGATCCACAAATTATGTACTTATAAAGATATTCAGTTAGAACAATACAATTTCTTTTTTTCAGTTGTTTCTTTGGACAAGCGGTTTGCAGTGGTTTGGATCCCGGACTAAGACCAATTGGCACAGAGAACTGCATGTCGCCTGTAAATCTCCCATAAAACAGATTATTCTCTTACTCCAATATTTAACTTATTATTAAATTCATCGTATCTTTGATTTCCATTCTTTCAATTGAATAAAACCATTATTCATTGAATAAAACCAGACAATTTTATATTGATAAAGAACGACCTCGGCGATCAGTGAGATATCGGAATAAAATCAGGTATCATTATGTATAATAATGAATGATCCTAGTAATGAGTAAAACATCCAAGTTTCACTTCCGTATGAATTATTTAATATTTGAAAATAGATTACACAGATGAATTAATTTTTTTTAAAACGACTGTTTGGTTATTTAAGATATGGAGTTGCGGATCATTTTTTTTTTAAAAGATTTTTTTTTTAAGCTCAGAGTTCTTTTGGGGTTGGTGGTCTTTTGTATTGGGTTATACACATGTTTGTTCACTGGTATTAGGTAGGTACCGGCATTTAACCGTAATGAATATATCTATTTTTCGCGATTGTTCCAAACAGATAAGTAGAACGTTCTTTGATGTTTGTCGAGAACAACAAAAATATAATAAATATATACGATTTCAAAAATATTGACAATATTAAATACGCAGTGTTTGTGGACCTTAGTGCAGTAGGTAAGTATATAGTGCTTGTTTGGTATGTCTCGGAGGGTGCACATCTCCTTGTCTGAATCACGTCTTGCCCCGACCCAGCCCAGAATAGATCAGTTTTGTGTACTCTTATTACTGTTTACTGATGGAGATCGAACAATTGTTCCTATCTTTATCCTTCCTAGATGCTTGTCACTGATTGGTGTGTGTGGTTTTTGTGAGAGAGGTCATGACCTTAACGTCAGCAGGTTGACTGTTGTATTGTGCACCGGATTGTTTAAATACCTGAACATCTTTTGATAAATCTAAGGACATGACAGAAACTTTTAAAAGACAATGGTGTTAAATATATCAACAAATGTGTGTCAGTCAGTTGAAAGGATCCTCAGATACGATTATTTTAATCTCTCCTGTTGAGACAACAATTCCTTGGCCATACAGAGGCGATGAATGACCAAGAGACCTACTAGAGCTCCTGATCTGTGGCAACGAGAAGTCAGTACTGAAGGCTACCTTCCCTCGTGAGTCATTTGCAGAACTGAACACTTGAAAAGCCTGTGGGAAAAATGGACGTCATATCGATTCTGCATAGATCCACTGTAATTACGCAACAATGTTTTAAGAAATGTCGTGTTTCGTAAGGTTGATTTCAAAGCAATTGATCTGATTGCCGGCATTGAAAGAGGGGATATCTGATTTTGTTTGTTTACAAGTCTGATTAAAGCGTAATTAATTGAATGGACCTTTTCAAGGCCAAATCAACCCGAATTGTATATGTATATTAAGGATACATAACACAAACGCTTTTCTGAAATCCGCAATATAACTATTAGATTTATGTTCATATAGATGAATAATGTTTGCCATAGTAACTTTGAAAACTTTGTAGGATTTTGTAATAATGTCATAAATATGTGCAAAAATTTATATACATTTATGTAGTGTTAAAGGTGAAGATAACGGGCAATGATCAATCTCATGATTCCAGTAAAGAAAACGAACCGTAAACAGGGAACAAAAGGCACAAAGTCGCACATTTAAGAAATTTTTCCCGGGTGGAGTGGGGGGGGGGGTGTGTGTTCCATATCAACTCTAACAAATGTCAGAATTGGAACTTTTTTGATAATTAAAGAAAAAAATCAATTTGCTTTAACTTGGTAAGCTTATTTTGTTGGGGTGGTGCGGGGTGGGGTGGGGTTAGTATGCACTTTCTTAATTCAATTTCTTTCAGTTACGTGACACATGACTCTTAATCTCCTTACCGTTGTAAGAGAGGTCCGTGTTTTCTAGGGGGTGGGGACTCCAAGGTCATTTTTTTGTTTCTTTTACATTTACATAACATTTAAAAACTGAAAAACCCTGGGGAGGGGTTTCCGGAACACCCCCTCCCCCGATCCGCGCATGGAACCATACGTGTAATTATATGTAGACTACTTGAATGTGTTTTTTTAGAACTCAAAAAATATTTAGCATCCAAAAGTCCAAAACCTTCATGTTGATTGTGTCGTAGAGAACAATCACTTTTATCACATAGGCTACATACCCCTAAATCTCTGTGAACATGAGGAGTGCTGCATTATAGAAATGGTTCATCAAACTCTTATCTTTAGCCTCCTATAAACACCAATGCAAGCTTGTTACAGAAAGGACAAGGTATATGGTAAAGGCCGAATCTGGCCCCTTATTTGATGTGAAAATCAGACCACAGTTAAATGGTGTTAGTTTGTTTAAGAACTTAAAATGATGCTTGTTTTATAACCAGTACTAATTTTGATTCAAATCTTACACGGAGGTCATAAGAGGGTGCAGAAGTAGGACATTTTCCCGAATTTCCTCAATTCTGGTCGAATTTTGTCAAATTTGAGACACTTTTCACTTCGAGAAACATAGAGCACAAGCTTGCCTATCTGGCTTATGCTCTATGTTTTCTGAAGCAAAATGTGCTGTAAAATCGATGAAAATTTGCATAAAAGTGAGAAAATTCGGAAATTGACATATTTTCTGACCTTCCTGTGACCTCTGTGTATCCCATAACTTACCGGTATATCCAATACTCATTCTGTGGCATGGTGACAACATGTTTTCAATTGATTAACTATTGCATCATTCTTAAAGACACCCCAAACCAGGGGCCAAAAAGGGGTCTTAGCCTATCTTGTCCTTTGATTGGTCCTACATTTATACGTACCTGAAGAGTTTCTTTGACGCAAAATCTGTTTAAGGATGGGAACTCTGGGGAAGGAAGGGGGGAGGTGAAATAAAAAAAAAGATTAATAACACTGGGTTGAAATACAAAATTAATTAATTGCTTGTTACATAACTACAGATCTTTAATCTTAAGTTCAATAAAATTATTAATGTTTGAACATAGAGAGGAAACTCTGTTGATGGATTATCAGTAATAGTACCTTTTATAATTCGTTCAATTCGTTTACTTCTTCCCTATGAATGATGTAAAATTCATTGAATTAAATTGATCGGAGTATTACCAACTGGATATAGTCTATTGAAATACAGTGAAGCAATTATCCCATAAATTATGTAAACGTTGTATGAATTAACTGAAATGAATTACTTAAAGAAAATAAAAAATAATATTTACCATGATTTTTTGATATATGAAAAAAAAACCCTTAAAAGCTTAGCCTGTTTGATCCATAAAATAAAATAAGATTGGTAACACACCCAGATATCATTGTTTAGACTGTATATTAAAAGTGAAAGAATTTCTTTTAATGACTTGATATTTTCTTTAGAGTTGACTTCATAGTTTATGATAGGTTAAATCTCTACTTTGGCCCAGACATCGCCTTTTACGTGACAACTCATTTTTTGATAGCCTGATATTGCCGTATGCTGCTGTAGGGACTCCCAGGCATTATCCGGGGAGTAGCCGTATTTATAATGACATCACAATACAGTAATCTAATCCCAAGGTACGTTTACAACTCCTGCCTTAGTACCCTATGTTACCATGAGGTGGGTGGATGCAAAACATCATCGCCAAAAAACATTCAAATCGGATCTTGCATTGTAAGGATCAGGCCTGTCCATTATTGAATGGATATCAGGTTCTAGGGCAGTGAACGAATGGACTTAGTTTTACTGCTTACTTGTGTAGTACTCGCGATAAACTATGAACCGTTATTTTCATTAATAAGGTCCGTTGCCAATGCAAATGATCTTTATTGCACAACTTCAATTATTTCTAAAGTGAAAAAAGGCGAAAAGAAATACCAGAATTTAAAACTTCAAAAAGTAATTCACTTCGAGTGCTTTTTTCGTTGATTATTTTGAAGTTTATCGCAATCATTAGACTTCGATGCAAATATAATCAGTGAAAACAAACATTTGTTCATGTGAGATAAGCATTCAAAAGACTTTAGTCATTGCTACCCACGGTTTCTAACCACATCCAGTATCAAAAGTATTCTTATATACGTAATATTAACAAGTTATTTCTATTATTCATGTCAGCAGGGTTGATTGTGTACTATAACAAACGAGATTGTTCATAACGTTCCATCTGTTTTGTTTTTAAAATATTTTAGTCATTGTTACTCGAATAAGGATTGAACAGCAGGCATGATCGAATATTTGTAATCGTTCTCTACACATATGCTTGAAATAAAGACATAAATAGGAAAGAGTATCTTATTGCCATGTTTTGCCAACAAAGTACAAAAATAATTAAATTTTGTCCTCTTCAGTTACTGAATTACGCTCTGTTTATTGCCTTCCTGCAACACCAGATTTGTTGAAATCAAAATTAGCCATAACGTCTCTGTAATTTTAAAGTTATCAATTCCGTAGTTTCTGAACTGGTGTTGAAAGACACTTGTCATTGTTTACTTTCAAAAATAAATTCATGACACCTTGTCATCAATACAGCAGCTCTAGTATATAATCTTTCATAATTCGACTTGAATAAACATTTTTTTACTCAATTTTTTAATTACATAGAACGCACACGTTTGATGCAGTATTTCTCCAGTTTGATATAGAAGGATGTTCCAATATAAACAAACAAGACAAAAGCACTCGTGGTTTCAAATTCATTTGAGAAACTGAGAGAGTAAAGCGAGAGACTCAAACTCGACCAGCGCGTTGGATGAAGACACCTGTTTCGTTATTGACATTTGGAACCAAGGTGATGATTGTGACGCAATGAAACCAAGCCCATCCCGCGCTAGGTCCTCGGAATTCGGATATCACTGAAATCAACTATTCCATCGAAACAATTAGAATTTAAATAGCAGATTGTAGCATTTCAAATTAATGACATACCTTTACATATAAACAAACAAATAAACAAAAAGGTATTGGCAAGAAAACGCGGAATCAAGATAACAGATGAATGAGTTTTTTCCCAACGCATTTCTTTAAATATAAGCAACCTTAGAGTCCATCGGATTTGAATAACCAGAGACAGATTCAAAGCTTCTGTGAATTCAGTTTCGGATTTCGACTAAAATGTGGACTTAATGGAATTATTTGATTCGTATTGGGTAAGAATATTTATATACTTTTATCACATATATTTTGATATATACATTGTATTTAGATTTAAAAAGTAAAGTGTTCATTATAACAAACTGCAAAAATGTAATTTACATTGTGCATAAGTCAAATTATAGGTGCTATTATTGATATATAGATAATTATATAGTTTTGAAAAGGAATGGTTTTCTTCAAAGAGTCAATTGATAAACGACTGGTCACATATACGAGGGTCATTTTTATTCTTTAAGATCAGTGAAACTTAATTTGAATCGTAATCTTTCATTATATTGGTTCACCTGCAATGTAGCCCGTATATCATATAGTCAACAGAAAATGAAAGCTGTCATGTGGGGCGTAAGAAAACATTTCAGATAATATGACAAAGGGTTATCTCCTCACACAGTTCGATTTTCAGTAGTCGGTGTGATTGATTTCAAGATCATATTTCTGTAAACCGAGGTCTGGTCACTTTTGAACCTATTAACAATGAACGCTCGTATTTACCTAAAACTAGGACTGAAAATTAAATTGAAGCATGAATGGAGTATTAAACGCTGGTAAAAGGAAAAGTTACTTTTTAATTGAATGGCAGATCATTAATATTCAATTTTCAAAATTCAGTCTTTTTATAATATTAAATATTTATGAAATATTTAGAGCTTACTGATAAGAAATAATAAAGCATCTAATCGGAGATGATTGCTATTAAGCCGAGGGCATGTTGGTTCTCATTAAATACCAGAAAATAACTGCACATCTCGGGAACAATAGAGACAGGCGCTGATTAGAGTATTAGGGACTTTAATTTCTATAACGATTCGTGCAACTATTCAATTTGTCAAGTTGCATACTACAACTATTTACCCCGCTTATAAACTAAAACTGCTCTAATACAAAGGAGGGTCAATATCAAAGATTCGACGTAACACGAGGTGTCTGCACTTTCTTATTGTTTACTTAACAAACAGATCTAACTTTATAATTCAATAAATGGCGTGTGTGTTAAATTAAACAGGTCCAGATAATGTTTGGTTGCTTCTACCTAATTAACCTTTCACAAGACATGACAAACAGGTGACATCTCCAAGTTTTCATCCAATATGACCCCTCCCAACTGTCTCGAAAAGACCGATCCCAATCTATCGGGTCTTTCCAAAGCTAAAGCGACATACAGTGCACAGACTCCTAACCAACCACTAAATATAAATATTTATTTTAGACAATAAAAACTTTACAGACCAGACTATAGTGTGGTAGGACAGGTGGCCGTTGATATTTTTTTTTATATATATATACGTATAATTCCAGACATTGCTGAGTGATTATGAATGCGCTGTGGTCATTGAGTGACATTACAGTAACTGCAAAGATACAAATATATACTTACATATATTTGAAATTTTAAAAAAAAATTATATGATCAGTTAGATGTGTGGTATTGTCAGTAACTTATAAATGCATTAAAAATATACATGTTATGCATTTGATATGATTCGTTTGAACTGAAATTGCTTTCAAGGGCATAAACTCGTCGTTATCTTTAGATATACACGTAAGGGGTATTTTTCTGGGTAATTCTTATTTCTGATCTCAGTAGGTAAGCATTCCACAGCGCAGTACGTTTTGTCCAACATGTTCAATGTACAAACTAGAGTAGAGTATATAATAATTAAAAGTCAATTTGAAGTACATCATTTGAAAATTGTTTATGAAAACTATAAGTGACCCACAAAAGCGATCTCCAGTATAAAAATTTAAGGTTTCAATTCTACACAGTAATTTGAATTCACAATATTTTACACACTGCAGTAAATATCACAGAAAATAATTAGCGATGTGTATACATGCACTAGAATATATTTTTTTCGAAAGAGATTTGGCAAAATCATCAAATAAGAGTGAAGTTTTTTAAGTATTGCACTTCACTAGGTATATAAACAGTACTCAATTTCACAGTGAATAGCTCAGATCAACTGAGCAGAGAAACCGTGTCTGTCAATATCATGTCATACAGTACAAGGTTTTACGAAGGAATGATAAAAAATGATATAAAATTATTCTTCACCGAGGACCATATATATATATATATATATATATATATATATATATATATATATATATATATATATATATATATATTAATATTTAGTGTACACAACAATAAAACTTGTGCCGCTCTTAACTATCACATGGATTTTTGAATTTAAATAACTATAGTTTTCATTAGAGACGAAAATGAACATATTTTATCATAAAAAGAATTCTCAGACAATGTATCGAACCATTGATTTCCATTCTGATCAATCAATCAATTGTTAGATAATAAATTATTAACAGACGTTCCAGACTTTAAAAAAAAAAGAAAAACTTCAAGGTCGCAGTAACGGAAGCTTATGTTTAATTACTTTAATCTGTATGACCTCAATGTAAATAGGTACAAAAGTTCTCATTTAACGATAATATTCACATTTTATCGGATTTCAAAAACTGTAAAGTTTTATTTAAGAGTTTCGCGTACTTCACACGAGACAGGATCTGAATAAGGACTTCTTCTTTTGATAAGATATCATCGTAAGACCAATTCATTGTTCAAGCCCTTGCTTCGTCAGTATAATTTATAAAGACCCACCCTTAATTCAAAGTTATTAATAAAAACTAAATCATTAACATCTACACTAGGTAAAACATTTCCTTTTCGTTTCTTTTTTAAATCACTACCTAAGAGAATGTTTCATACGACATCCAGATAAGACTCGACTTTACAGTGCGATTACAGTTCCAGTGTAAACTTGTCGTTTTGGAGAGAAACATGAGCTGTCTTCAATGGTAACCCTTTAGAAAGATTGAAGTATTGTTCAGTGATGATAAATCTTAGCTTTGTAGTTTTTTTGGAAGACAGAAACATCACGTTTCTTTCAAATCTCGTCAGCATTTAAAAAAAATAGACAAAATTGTTATTGACAAGACATTTACTTACTACTTATTACCATTAATTTACTTACTGGCCAAAATTTAGTATCCAGTTTTTTTTATAGCAAATTTTACATATTTTGTTGAAGGAAATTTACATAGGAGTATATGGGAAAATTTAAAAAAAATCTTCTCAACAACAGTCGAAATGACCAAACTATTAAAAAATTGAACAGAGTATATATATATATATATATATATATATATATATATATGTATGTATGTATATATTCAGAAAAGGAACTGACGATTATGTCAATGGAAAATGATGTTAATTGATATATCGGTTTTTATTTTAGACATGATGAAATTAAAGTGATGTACAAGATTTTAACAAAGACACTCAAACTTGCGGCCATATTGCTCCTGATATTTTCAAAGACAATAAACCCCTCGTCTACACCTTCAGTAGGTGACAATACAGCAGATAATTCTATATCGTCCGATGGTGAAGTATTAGACAATGTTACTTCTACAACAGACAATGTTTTCTCAACCAAAAGTGTTCATAATGCTACTTTTATCTCTTCGGAAACCACAACGATCAGTAAAAGTAGTACTGTTTCCGATGAGATAGAACTCAGCACCACTTCTAGTAGCAAATTAACAGAAAGTACAAGTTCTTCGATAGCAAACATTACTGGTGTTTTTTCTCAAACAACCGATGAAACAATAGCAATACCGACAACAAATATATCTTCTTCTACAACATCAGAAAAACAATCAACGGTAACTGGAACTGATTTGACAACAGAAACGTCAACAAATACTCAGCCTGAATCATCAGCATCTATATCTACTTTAAAAGAATCCACCACAACAGATATATTCACGACTTTTACAGATAGAAGCCGAATCGAAACGACAAGTGAACAAAACAGTACAACATTGAATCCTTCAAGTTCATCATATACAACCACTGAAGAGTCGCCTTCTAACGTCTTCTATCAACAACTTACAAATACGATATCAGAAGAAACTACACAAATCTCAACTGAAAACACAACCGAGTCACTCGCAATAGGCTTAAAGTCCACTACATCTGCGGAAATATCATCATCCTCAACCATATCAGCAAATGCAGAAAATATAACTGGATCGAACATAATAAGCGAAACCACGACCATCGAGGCACCTACAACTTACGAAACTTCCAAAATCATGAGTTCTTCCATAGAAACTGGCATATCTTCCACTAGATTTGTTGATGAATCTACAATATCTGATGAAACAATTACAACTGCTTTCACAAGACTGGACGATACATCAACAGAAGGCAAAACTGATGAGAGTACAATTTTGCCTTACATTGTCGAATTTACGTCTACTACAAATGAAGTGTCAAATTTTGAAACAACTGTAGAAAAACAAGCAAACACATCTTACAGTACCTCACAGTCTGTAACAGACCTACAAAGGTCCGAAGAAATGTCAACATTTGCTTCGGTATCTAGACAAAACACAACTGACACAGTAAGTCATAACAGTGCTTCCTCAGAAATATATTCAACAGAAACATTAACAAATAATATTTTGCTTTCAAGTTCAACGTCAGAACCACACTCAACGATAATCGGAGCAGAAAGTACAACCGATTATGAGACTTCCTCCTTTCAAAACTCCAACCAAATGACTTCTGAGCTTCTAATGACATCAGAAACAAATGCATATTCGAAACCATCTGAGAAAATATCCACATTTTCAACTAGTGAAGAAAACACAAGTGCCTCTTCCTCTGTAACAAGCATGAAAGCAATCTCCGAAACAAGCTTGACAACGTCCGAAGATATAAAAACGTCACTTACAAGTACAACATATGAAACTTCCGAAATGATGAGCCCAACAACAAGTGTGAAACCGGAGTCTTCTAGTAGCACTGAGAATGCCACTGTATCTGTAGAAACGTCTCCAACCATTTCGACTACTCTAGAAATCAGCTCAACTGAAAGAGTAAGTGAGGAAAGTACCACTCCGACTACGCCTGTTGAAAGTACAACTTTTGAGACTTCCTCTTCTGTAAGCTCAACAGAGAGTACAAATGAGACTCTAACTACCACAGAAACAAGTACATATTCCACAACATCTGAGGAATTATCAACATTTTCAACTTCTTCTGCTAGTGAGGAAAGTACAAGTGCCTCATCCTCTGACACCAGCGTGGAACCAAGCATGACAACATCTGAAGACACAACAACAACACCACTTACAAGTACAACATATGAGACTTCCGGAATGGTGAGCTCAACAACAAGTGTGACAACGGAGTCTTCCAGTAGCACTGAGGGTGCCACAATATCTGTAGAAACGTCTCCAACCATTTCGACTACTCTAGAAATCAGCTCAGCTGAAAGAGTAAGTGAGGAAAGTACCACCCCGACTACGCCTGTTGAAAGTACAACTTTTGAGACTTCCTCTTCTGCAAGCTCAACAGAGAGTACAAATGAGACTCTAACTACCACAGGAGCAAGTACATATTCCACAACATCTGAGGAATTATCAACATTTTCAACTTCTTCTGCTAGTGAGGAAAGCTCAAGTGCCTCATCCTCTGTAACAAGCTTGGAAACAAGCACGAAGACATCTGAAGACACAACAACAACGCCACTTACAAGTACAACATATGAAACTTCCGGAATGGTGAGCTCAACAACAAGTGTGACAACGGAGTCTTCCAGTAGCACTGAGGGTGCCACAATATCTGTAGAAACGTCTCCAACCATTTTGACTACTCTAGAAATCAGCTCAACTGAAAGAGTAAGTGAGGAAAGTACCACTCCGACTACGCCTGTTGAAAGTACAACTTTTGAGACTTCCTCTTCTGCAAGCTCAACAGAGAGTACAAATGAGACTTTAACTAAGACAGGAGCAAGTACATATTCCACAACATCTGAGGAATTATCAACATTTTCAACTTCTTCTGCTAGTGAGGAAAGCACAAGTGCCTCATCCTCTGTAACAAGCTTGGAAACAAGCACGAAGACATCTGAAGACACAACAACAACACCACTTACAAGTACAACATATGAGACTTCCGGAATGGTGAGCTCAACAACAAGTGTGACAACGGAGTCTTCCAGTAGCACTGAGGGTGCCACAATATCTGTAGAAACGTCTCCAACCATTTCGACTACTCTAGAAATCAGCTCAACTGAAAGAGTAAGTGAGGAAAGTTCCACTCCGACTACGCCTGTTGAAAGTACAACTTTTGAGACTTCCTCTTCTGCAAGCTCAACAGAGAGTACAAATGAGACTCTAACTACCACAGGAGCAAGTACATATTCCACAACATCTGAGGAATTATCAACATTTTCAACTTCTTCTGCTAGTGAGAAAAGCACAAGTGCCTCATCCTCTGTAACAAGCTTGGAAACAAGCTCGAAGACATCTGAAGACACAACAACAACGCCACTTACAAGTACAACATATGAAACTTCCGGAATGATGAGCTCAACAACAAGTGTGACAACGGAGTCTTCCAGTAGCACTGAGGGTGCCACAATATCTGTAGAAACGTCTCCAACCATTTCAACTACTCTAGAAATCAGCTCAACTGAAAGAGTAAGTGAGGAAAGTTCCACTCCCACTACGCCTGTTGAAAGTACAACTTTTGAGACTTCCTCTTCTGCAAGCTCAACAGAGAGTACAAATGAGACTCTAACTACCACAGGAGCAAGTACATATTCAACAACATCTGAGGAATTATCAACATTTTCAACTTCTTCTGCTAGTGAGGAAAGTACAAGTGCCTCATCCTCTGTAACAAGCTTGGAAACAAGCACGAAGACATCTGAAGACACAACAACAACGCCACTTACAAGTACAACATATGAAACTTCCGGAATGGTGAGCTCAACAACAAGTGTGACAACGGAGTCTTCCAGTAGCACTGAGGGTGCCACAATATCTGTAGAAACGTCTCCAACCATTTCGACTACTCTAGAAATCAGCTCAACTGAAAGAGTAAGTGAGGAAAGTTCCACTCCCACTACGCCTGTTGAAAGTACAACTTTTGAGAGTTCCTCTTCTGTAAGCTCAACAGAGAGTACAAATGAGACTCTAACTACCACAGGAGCAAGTACATATTCCACAACATCTGAGGAATTATCAACATTTTCAACTTCTTCTGCTAGTGAGGAAAGCACAAGTGCCTCATCCTCTGTAACAAGCTTGGAAACAAGCACGAAGACATCTGAAGACACAACAACAACATCACTTACAAGTACAACATATGAGACTTCCGGAATGGTGAGCTCAACAACAAGTGTGACAACGGAGTCTTCCAGTAGCACTGAGAGTGCCACAATATCTGTAGAAACGTCTCCAACCATTTCGACTACTCTAGAAATCAGTTCAGCTGAAAGAGTAAGTGAGGAAAGTACCACCCCGACTACGCCTGTTGAAAGTACAACTTTTGAGACTTCCTCTTCTGTAAGCTCAACAGAGAGTATAATTGAGACTCTAACTACCACAGGAGCAAGTACATATTCCACAACATCTGAGGAATTATCAACATTTTCAACTTCTTCTGCTAGTGAGGAAAGTACAAGTGCCTCATCCTCTGTAACAAGCTTGGAAACAAGCACGAAGACATCTGAAGACACAACAACAACGCCACTTACAAGTACAACATATGAAACTTCCGGAATGGTGAGCTCAACAACAAGTGTGACAACGGAGTCTTCCAGTAGCACTGAGGGTGCCACAATATCTGTAGAAACGTCTCCAACCATTTTGACTACTCTAGAAATCAGCTCAACTGAAAGAGTAAGTGAGGAAAGTACCACTCCGACTACGCCTGTTGAAAGTACAACTTTTGAGACTTCCTCTTCTGCAAGCTCAACAGAGGGTACAAATGAGACTTTAACTAAGACAGGAGCAAGTACATATTCCACAACATCTGAGGAATTATCAACATTTTCAACTTCTTCTGCTAGTGAGGAAAGCACAAGTGCCTCATCCTCTGTAACAAGCTTGGAAACAAGCACGAAGACATCTGAAGACACAACAACAACGCCACTTACAAGTACAACATATGAAACTTCCGGAATGGTGAGCTCAACAACAAGTGTGACAGCGGAGTCTTCCAGTAGCACTGAGGGTGCCACAATACCTGTAGAAACGTCTCCAACCATTTCGACTACTCTAGAAATCAGCTCAGCTGAAAGAGTAAGTGAGGAAAGTACCACCCCGACTACGCCTGTTGAAAGTACAACTTTTGAGACTTCCTCTTCTGCAAGCTCAACAGAGAGTACAAATGAGACTCTAACTACCACAGGAGCAAGTACATATTCCACAACATCTGAGGAATTATCAACATTTTCAACTTCTTCTGCTAGTGAGGAAAGCACAAGTGCCTCATCCTCTGTAACAAGCTTGGAAACAAGCACGAAGACATCTGAAGACACAACAACAACACCACTTACAAGTACAACATATGAAACTTCCGGAATGGTGAGCTCAACAACAAGTGTGACAACGGAGTCTTCCAGTAGCACTGAGGGTGCCACATTATCTGTAGAAACGTCTCCAACCATTTCGACTACTCTAGAAATCAGCTCAACTGAAAGAGTAAGTGAGGAAAGTTCCACTCCCACTACGCCTGTTGAAAGTACAACTTTTGAGACTTCCTCTTCTGCAAGCTCAACAGAGAGTACAAATGAGACTCTAACTACCACAGGAGCAAGTACATATTCCACAACATCTGAGGAATTATCAACATTTTCAACTTCTTCTGCTAGTGAGGAAAGTACAAGTGCCTCATCCTCTGTAACAAGCTTGGAAACAAGCACGAAGACATCTGAAGACACAACAACAACACCACTTACAAGTACAACATATGAGACTTCCGGAATGGTGAGCTCAACAACAAGTGTGACAACGGAGTCTTCCAGTAGCACTGAGGGTGCCACAATATCTGTAGAAACGTCTCCAACCATTTCGACTACTCTAGAAATCAGCTCAACTGAAAGAGTAAGTGAGGAAAGTTCCAATCCCACTACGCCTGTTGAAAGTACAACTTTTGAGACTTCCTCTTCTGCAAGCTCAACAGAGAGTACAAATGAGACTCTAACTACCACAGGAGCAAGTACATATTCCACAACATCTGAGGAATTATCAACATTTTCAACTTCTTCTGCTAGTGAGGAAAGTACAAGTGCCTCATCCTCTGTAACAAGCTTGGAAACAAGCACGAAGACATCTGAAGACACAACAACAACGCCACTTACAAGTACAACATATGAAACTTCCGGAATGGTGAGCTCAACAACAAGTGTGACATCGGAGTCTTCCAGTAGCACTGAGGGTGCCACAATATCTGTAGAAACGTCTCCAACCATTTCGACTACTCTAGAAATCAGCTCAACTGAAATAGTAAGTGAGGAAAGTTCCAATCCCACTACGCCTGTTGAAAGTACAACTTTTGAGAGTTCCTCTTCTGTAAGCTCAACAGAGAGTACAAATGAGACTCTAACTACCACAGGAGCAAGTACATATTCCACAACATCTGAGGAATTATCAACATTTTCAACTTCTTCTGCTAGTGAGGAAAGTACAAGTGCCTCATCCTCTGTAACAAGCTTGGAAACAAGCACGAAGACATCTGAAGACACAACAACAACGCCACTTACAAGTACAACATATGAAACTTCCGGAATGGTGAGCTCAACAACAAGTGTGACAGCGGAGTCTTCCAGTAGCACTGAGGGTGCCACAATATCTGTAGAAACGTCTCCAACCATTTCGACTACTCTAGAAATCAGCTCAACTGAAAGAGTAAGTGAGGAAAGTTCCACTCCCATTACGCCTGTTGAAAGTACAACTTTTGAGACTTCCTCTTCTGTAAGCTCAACAGAGAGTACAAATGAGACTCTAACTACCACAGGAGCAAGTACATATTCCACAACATCTGAGGAATTATCAACATTTTCAACTTCTTCTGCTAGTGAGGAAAGTACAAGTGCCTCATCCTCTGTAACAAGCTTGGAAACAAGCACGAAGACATCTGAAGACACAACAACAACGCCACTTACAAGTACAACATATGAAACTTCCGGAATGGTGAGCTCAACAACAAGTGTGACAGCGGAGTCTTCCAGTAGCACTGAGGGTGCCACAATATCTGTAGAAACGTCTCCAACCATTTCGACTACTCTAGAAATCAGCTCAACTGAAAGAGTAAGTGAGGAAAGTTCCACTCCCATTACGCCTGTTGAAAGTACAACTTTTGAGACTTCCTCTTCTGTAAGCTCAACAGAGAGTACAAATGAGACTCTAACTACCACAGGAGCAAGTACATATTCCACAACATCTGAGGAATTATCAACATTTTCAACTTCTTCTGCTAGTGAGGAAAGTACAAGTGCCTCATCCTCTGTAACAAGCTTGGAAACAAGCACGAAGACATCTGAAGACACAACAACAACGCCACTTACAAGTACAACATATGAAACTTCCGGAATGATGAGCTCAACAACAAGTGTGACAACGGAGTCTTCCAGTAGCACTGAGGGTGCCACAATATCTGTAGAAACGTCTCCAACCATTTCGACTACTCTAGAAATCAGCTCAACTGAAAGAGTAAGTGAGGAAAGTTCCACTCCCCCTACGCCTGTTGAAAGTACAACTTTTGAGAGTTCCTCTTCTGTAAGCTCAACAGAGAGTACAAATGAGACTCTAACTACCACAGGAGCAAGTACATATTCCACAACATCTGAGGAATTATCAACATTTTCAACTTCTTCTGCTAGTGAGGAAAGTACAAGTGCCTCATCCTCTGTAACAAGCTTGGAAACAAGCACGAAGACATCTGAAGACACAACAACAACGCCACTTACAAGTACAACATATGAAACTTCCGGAATGGTGAGCTCAACAACAAGTGTGACAGCGGAGTCTTACAGTAGCACTGAGGGTGCCACAATATCTGTAGAAACGTCTCCAACCATTTCGACTACTCTAGAAATCAGCTCAACTGAAAGAGTAAGTGAGGAAAGTTCCACTCCCACTACGCCTGTTGAAAGTACAACTTTTGAGACTTCCTCTTCTGCAAGCTCAACAGAGAGTACAAATGAGACTTTAACTAAGACAGGAGCAAGTACATATTCCACAACATCTGAGGAATTATCAACATTTTCATCATCTTCTGGTAGTGAGGAAAGCACAAGTGCCTCATCCTCTGTAACAAGCTTGGAAACAAGCACGAAGACATCTGAAGACACAACAACAACGCCACTTACAAGTACAACATATGAAACTTCCGGAATGGTGAGCTCAACAACAAGTGTGACAACGGAGTCTTCCAGTAGCACTGAGGGTGCCACAATATCTGTAGAAACGTCTCCAACCATTTCGACTACTCTAGAAATCAGCTCAGCTGAAAGAGTAAGTGAGGAAAGTACCACCCCGACTACGCCTGTTGAAAGTACAACTTTTGAGACTTCCTCTTCTGCAAGCTCAACAGAGAGTACAAATAAAACTCTAACTACCACAGGAGCAAGTACATATTCCACAACATCTGAGGAATTATCAACATTTTCAACTTCTTCTGCTAGTGAGGAAAGCACAAGTGCCTCATCCTCTGTAACAAGCTTGGAAACAAGCACGAAGACATCTGAAGACACAACAACAACACCACTTACAAGTACAACATATGAAACTTCCGGAATGGTGAGCTCAACAACAAGTGTGACAACGGAGTCTTCCAGTAGCACTGAGGGTGCCACAATATCTGTAGAAACGTCTCCAACCATTTCGACTACTCTAGAAATCAGCTCAACTGAAAGAGTAAGTGAGGAAAGTTCCACTCCCACTACGCCTGTTGAAAGTACAACTTTTGAGACTTCCTCTTCTGCAAGCTCAACAGAGAGTACAAATGAGACTCTAACTACCACAGGAGCAAGTACATATTCCACATCATCTGAGGAATTATCAACATTTTCAACTTCTTCTGCTAGTGAGGAAAGTACAAGTGCCTCATCCTCTGTAACAAGCTTGGAAACAAGCACGAAGACATCTGAAGACACAACAACAACGCCACTTACAAGTACAACATATGAAACTTCCGGAATGGTGAGCTCAACAACAAGTGTGACAGCGGAGTCTTCCAGTAGCACTGAGGGTGCCACAATATCTGTAGAAACGTCTCCAACCATTTCGACTACTCTAGAAATCAGCTCAACTGAAAGAGTAAGTGAGGAAAGTTCCACTCCCACTACGCCTGTTGAAAGTACAACTTTTGAGACTTCCTCTTCTGTAAGCTCAACAGAGAGTACAAATGAGACTCTAACTACCACAGGAGCAAGTACATATTCCACAACATCTGAGGAATTATCAACATTTTCAACTTCTTCTGCTAGTGAGGAAAGCACAAGTGCCTCATCCTCTGTAACAAGCTTGGAAACAAGCACGAAGACATCTGAAGACACAACAACAACGCCACTTACAAGTACAACATATGAAACTTCCGGAATGGTGAGCTCAACAACAAGTGTGACAACGGAGTCTTCCAGTAGCACTGAGGGTGCCACAATATCTGTAGAAACGTCTCCAACCATTTCGACTACTCTAGAAATCAGCTCAACTGAAAGAGTAAGTGAGGAAAGTTCCACTCCCACTACGCCTGTTGAAAGTACAACTTTTGAGAGTTCCTCTTCTGTAAGCTCAACAGAGAGTACAAATGAGACTCTAACTACCACAGGAGCAAGTACATATTCCACAACATCTGAGGAATTATCAACATTTTCAACTTCTTCTGCTAGTGAGGAAAGTACAAGTGCCTCATCCTCTGTAACAAGCTTGGAAACAAGCACGAAGACATCTGAAGACACAACAACAACACCACTTACAAGTACAACATATGAGACTTCCGGAATGGTGAGCTCAACAACAAGTGTGACAACGGAGTCTTCCAGTAGCACTGAGGGTGCCACAATATCTGTAGAAACGTCTCCAACCATTTCGACTACTCTAGAAATCAGCTCAACTGAAAGAGTAAGTGAGGAAAGTTCCACTCCCACTACGCCTGTTGAAAGTACAACTTTTGAGACTTCCTCTTCTGCAAGCTCAACAGAGAGTACAAATGAGACTCTAACTACCACAGGAGCAAGTACATATTCCACAACATCTGAGGAATTATCAACATTTTCAACTTCTTCTGCTAGTGAGGAAAGTACAAGTGCCTCATCCTCTGTAACAAGCTTGGAAACAAGCACGAAGACATCTGAAGACACAACAACAACGCCACTTACAAGTACAACATATGAAACTTCCGGAATGGTGAGCTCAACAACAAGTGTGACAGCGGAGTCTTCCAGTAGCACTGAGGGTGCCACAATATCTGTAGAAACGTCTCCAACCATTTCGACTACTCTAGAAATCAGCTCAACTGAAATAGTAAGTGAGGAAAGTTCCACTCCCACTACGCCTGTTGGAAGTACAACTTTTGAGAGTTCCTCTTCTGTAAGCTCAACAGAGAGTACAAATGAGACTCTAACTACCACAGGAGCAAGTACATATTCCACAACATCTGAGGAATTATCAACATTTTCAACTTCTTCTGCTAGTGAGGAAAGTACAAGTGCCTCATCCTCTGTAACAAGCTTGGAAACAAGCACGAAGACATCTGAAGACACAACAACAACGCCACTTACAAGTACAACATATGAAACTTCCGGAATGGTGAGCTCAACAACAAGTGTGACAGCGGAGTCTTCCAGTAGCACTGAGGGTGCCACAATATCTGTAGAAACGTCTCCAACCATTTCGACTACTCTAGAAATCAGCTCAACTGAAAGAGTAAGTGAGGAAAGTTCCACTCCCATTACGCCTGTTGAAAGTACAACTTTTGAGACTTCCTCTTCTGTAAGCTCAACAGAGAGTACAAATGAGACTCTAACTACCACAGGAGCAAGTACATATTCCACAACATCTGAGGAATTATCAACATTTTCAACTTCTTCTGCTAGTGAGGAAAGTACAAGTGCCTCATCCTCTGTAACAAGCTTGGAAACAAGCACGAAGACATCTGAAGACACAACAACAACGCCACTTACAAGTACAACATATGAAACTTCCGGAATGATGAGCTCAACAACAAGTGTGACAACGGAGTCTTCCAGTAGCACTGAGGGTGCCACAATATCTGTAGAAACGTCTCCAACCATTTCGACTACTCTAGAAATCAGCTCAACTGAAAGAGTAAGTGAGGAAAGTTCCACTCCCCCTACGCCTGTTGAAAGTACAACTTTTGAGACTTCCTCTTCTGTAAGCTCAACAGAGAGTACAAATGAGACTCTAACTACCACAGGAGCAAGTACATATTCCACAACATCTGAGGAATTATCAACATTTTCAACTTCTTCTGCTAGTGAGGAAAGTACAAGTGCCTCATCCTCTGTAACAAGCTTGGAAACAAGCACGAAGACATCTGAAGACACAACAACAACGCCACTTACAAGTACAACATATGAAACTTCCGGAATGGTGAGCTCAACAACAAGTGTGACAGCGGAGTCTTCCAGTAGCACTGAGGGTGCCACAATATCTGTAGAAACGTCTCCAACCATTTCGACTACTCTAGAAATCAGCTCAACTGAAAGAGTAAGTGAGGAAAGTTCCACTCCCACTACGCCTGTTGAAAGTACAACTTTTGAGACTTCCTCTTCTGCAAGCTCAACAGAGAGTACAAATGAGACTCTAACTACCACAGGAGCAAGTACATATTCCACAACATCTGAGGAATTATCAACATTTTCAACTTCTTCTGCTAGTGAGGAAAGTACAAGTGCCTCATCCTCTGTAACAAGCTTGGAAACAAGCACGAAGACATCTGAAGACACAACAACAACGCCACTTACAAGTACAACATATGAAACTTCCGGAATGGTGAGCTCAACAACAAGTGTGACAGCGGAGTCTTCCAGTAGCACTGAGGGTGCCACAATATCTGTAGAAACGTCTCCAACCATTTCGACTACTCTAGAAATCAGCTCAACTGAAAGAGTAAGTGAGGAAAGTTCCACTCCCACTACGCCTGTTGAAAGTACAACTTTTGAGACTTCCTCTTCTGCAAGCTCAACAGAGAGTACAAATGAGACTCTAACTACCACAGGAGCAAGTACATATTCCACAACATCTGAGGAATTATCAACATTTTCAACTTCTTCTGCTAGTGAGGAAAGCACAAGTGCCTCATCCTCTGTAACAAGCTTGGAAACAAGCACGAAGACATCTGAAGACACAACAACAACGCCACTTACAAGTACAACATATGAAACTTCCGGAATGGTGAGCTCAACAACAAGTGTGACAACGGAGTCTTCCAGTAGCACTGAGGGTGCCACAATATCTGTAGAAACGTCTCCAACCATTTCGACTACTCTAGAAATCAGCTCAACTGAAAGAGTAAGTGAGGAAAGTACCACTCCCACTACGCCTGTTGAAAGTACAACTTTTGAGAGTTCCTCTTCTGTAAGCTCAACAGAGAGTACAAATGAGACTCTAACTACCACAGGAGCAAGTACATATTCCACAACATCTGAGGAATTATCAACATTTTCAACTTCTTCTGCTAGTGAGGAAAGTACAAGTGCCTCATCCTCTGTAACAAGCTTGGAAACAAGCACGAAGACATCTGAAGACACAACAACAACGCCACTTACAAGTACAACATATGAAACTTCCGGAATGGTGAGCTCAACAACAAGTGTGACAGCGGAGTCTTACAGTAGCACTGAGGGTGCCACAATATCTGTAGAAACGTCTCCAACCATTTCGACTACTCTAGAAATCAGCTCAACTGAAAGAGTAAGTGAGGAAAGTTCCACTCCCACTACGCCTGTTGAAAGTACAACTTTTGAGACTTCCTCTTCTGCAAGCTCAACAGAGAGTACAAATGAGACTCTAACTACCACAGGAGCAAGTACATATTCCACAACATCTGAGGAATTATCAACATTTTCAACTTCTTCTGCTAGTGAGGAAAGTACAAGTGCCTCATCCTCTGTAACAAGCTTGGAAACAAGCACGAAGACATCTGAAGACACAACAACAACGCCACTTACAAGTACAACATATGAAACTTCCGGAATGGTGAGCTCAACAACAAGTGTGACAACGGAGTCTTCCAGTAGCACTGAGGGTGCCACAATATCTGTAGAAACGTCTCCAACCATTTCGACTACTCTAGAAATCAGCTCAACTGAAAGAGTAAGTGAGGAAAGTTCCACTCCCACTACGCCTGTTGAAAGTACAACTTTTGAGACTTCCTCTTCTGCAAGCTCAACAGAGAGTACAAATGAGACTCTAACTACCACAGGAGCAAGTACATATTCCACAACATCTGAGGAATTATCAACATTTTCAACTTCTTCTGCTAGTGAGGAAAGTACAAGTGCCTCATCCTCTGTAACAAGCTTGGAAACAAGCACGAAGACATCTGAAGACACAACAACAACGCCACTTACAAGTACAACATATGAAACTTCCGGAATGGTGAGCTCAACAACAAGTGTGACAGCGGAGTCTTACAGTAGCACTGAGGGTGCCACAATATCTGTAGAAACGTCTCCAACCATTTCGACTACTCTAGAAATCAGCTCAACTGAAAGAGTAAGTGAGGAAAGTTCCACTCCCACTACGCCTGTTGAAAGTACAACTTTTGAGACTTCCTCTTCTGCAAGCTCAACAGAGAGTACAAATGAGACTCTAACTACCACAGGAGCAAGTACATATTCCACAACATCTGAGGAATTATCAACATTTTCAACTTCTTCTGCTAGTGAGGAAAGTACAAGTGCCTCATCCTCTGTAACAAGCTTGGAAACAAGCACGAAGACATCTGAAGACACAACAACAACGCCACTTACAAGTACAACATATGAAACTTCCGGAATGGTGAGCTCAACAACAAGTGTGACAGCGGAGTCTTCCAGTAGCACTGAGGGTGCCACAATATCTGTAGAAACGTCTCCAACCATTTCGACTACTCTAGAAATCAGCTCAACTGAAAGAGTAAGTGAGGAAAGTTCCACTCCCACTACGCCTGTTGAAAGTACAACTTTTGAGACTTCCTCTTCTGTAAGCTCAACAGAGAGTACAAATGAGACTCTAACTACCACAGGAGCAAGTACATATTCCACAACATCTGAGGAATTATCAACATTTTCAACTTCTTCTGCTAGTGAGGAAAGTACAAGTGCCTCATCCTCTGTAACAAGCTTGGAAACAAGCACGAAGACATCTGAAGACACAACAACAACGCCACTTACAAGTACAACATATGAAACTTCCGGAATGAAGAGCTCAACAACAAGTGTGACATCGGAGTCTTCCAGTAGCACTGAGGGTGCCACAATATCTGTAGAAACGTCTCCAACCATTTCGACTACTCTAGAAATCAGCTCAACTGAAAGAGTAAGTGAGGAAAGTTCCACTCCCACTACGCCTGTTGAAAGTACAACTTTTGAGAGTTCCTCTTCTGTAAGCTCAACAGAGAGTACAAATGAGACTCTAACTACCACAGGAGCAAGTACATATTCCACAACATCTGAGGAATTATCAACATTTTCAACTTCTTCTGCTAGTGAGGAAAGTACAAGTGCCTCATCCTCTGTAACAAGCTTGGAAACAAGCACGAAGACATCTGAAGACACAACAACAACGCCACTTACAAGTACAACATATGAAACTTCCGGAATGGTGAGCTCAACAACAAGTGTGACAACGGAGTCTTCCAGTAGCACTGAGGGTGCCACAATATCTGTAGAAACGTCTCCAACCATTTCGACTACTCTAGAAATCAGCTCAACTGAAAGAGTAAGTGAGGAAAGTACCACTCCCACTACGCCTGTTGAAAGTACAACTTTTGAGACTTCCTCTTCTGTAAGCTCAACAGAGAGTACAAATGAGACTCTAACTACCACAGGAGCAAGTACATATTCCACAACATCTGAGGAATTATCAACATTTTCAACTTCTTCTGCTAGTGAGGAAAGTACAAGTGCCTCATCCTCTGTAACAAGCTTGGAAACAAGCACGAAGACATCTGAAGACACAACAACAACGCCACTTACAAGTACAACATATGAAACTTCCGGAATGGTGAGCTCAACAACAAGTGTGACAACGGAGTCTTCCAGTAGCACTGAGGGTGCCACAATATCTGTAGAAACGTCTCCAACCATTTCGACTACTCTAGAAATCAGCTCAACTGAAAGAGTAATTGAGGAAAGTACCACTCCCACTACGCCTGTTGAAAGTACAACTTTTGAGACTTCCTCTTCTGCAAACTCAACAGAGAGTACAAATGAGACTCTAACTACCACAGGAGCAAGTACATATTCCACAACATCTGAGGAATTATCAACATTTTCAACTTCTTCTGCTAGTGAGGAAAGTACAAGTGCCTCATCCTCTATAACAAGCTTGGAAACAAGCACGAAGACATCTGAAGACACAACAACAACGCCACTTACAAGTACAACATATGAAACTTCCGGAATGGTGAGCTCAACAACAAGTGTGACAGCGGAGTCTTCCAGTAGCACTGAGGGTGCCACAATATCTGTAGAAACGTCTCCAACCATTTCGACTACTCTAGAAATCAGCTCAACTGAAAGAGTAAGTGAGGAAAGTTCCACTCCCACTACGCCTGTTGAAAGTACAACTTTTGAGACTTCCTCTTCTGCAAGCTCAACAGAGAGTACAAATGAGACTCTAACTACCACAGGAGCAAGTACATATTCCACAACATCTGAGGAATTATCAACATTTTCAACTTCTTCTGCTAGTGAGGAAAGTACAAGTGCCTCATCCTCTGTAACAAGCTTGGAAACAAGCACGAAGACATCTGAAGACACAACAACAACGCCACTTACAAGTACAACATATGAAACTTCCGGAATGGTGAGCTCAACAACAAGTGTGACAACGGAGTCTTACAGTAGCACTGAGGGTGCCACAATATCTGTAGAAACGTCTCCAACCATTTCGACTACTCTAGAAATCAGCTCAACTGAAAGAGTAAGTGAGGAAAGTTCCACTCCCACTACGCCTGTTGAAAGTACAACTTTTGAGACTTCCTCTTCTGTAAGCTCAACAGAGAGTACAAATGAGACTCTAACTACCACAGGAGCAAGTACATATTCCACAACATCTGAGGAATTATCAACATTTTCAACTTCTTCTGCTAGTGAGGAAAGTACAAGTGCCTCATCCTCTGTAACAAGCTTGGAAACAAGCACGAAGACATCTGAAGACACAACAACAACGCCACTTACAAGTACAACATATGAAACTTCCGGAATGGTGAGCTCAACAACAAGTGTGACAGCGGAGTCTTCCAGTAGCATAGAGGGTGCCACAATATCTGTAGAAACGTCTCCAACCATTTCGACTACTCTAGAAATCAGCTCAACTGAAAGAGTAAGTGAGGAAAGTTCCACTCCCATTACGCCTGTTGAAAGTACAACTTTTGAGACTTCCTCTTCTGTAAGCTCAACAGAGAGTACAAATGAGACTCTAACTACCACAGGAGCAAGTACATATTCCACAACATCTGAGGAATTATCAACATTTTCAACTTCTTCTGCTAGTGAGGAAAGTACAAGTGCCTCATCCTCTGTAACAAGCTTGGAAACAAGCACGAAGACATCTGAAGACACAACAACAACGCCACTTACAAGTACAACATATGAAACTTCCGGAATGGTGAGCTCAACAACAAGTGTGACAGCGGAGTCTTCCAGTAGCACTGAGGGTGCCACAATATCTGTAGAAACGTCTCCAACCATTTCGACTACTCTAGAAATCAGCTCAACTGAAAGAGTAAGTGAGGAAAGTACCACTCCCACTACGCCTGTTGAAAGTACAACTTTTGAGACTTCCTCTTCTGCAAGCTCAACAGAGAGTACAAATGAGACTCTAACTACCACAGGAGCAAGTACATATTCCACAACATCTGAGGAATTATCAACATTTTCAACTTCTTCTGCTAGTGAGGAAAGTACAAGTGCCTCATCCTCTATAACAAGCTTGGAAACAAGCACGAAGACATCTGAAGACACAACAACAACGCCACTTACAAGTACAACATATGAAACTTCCGGAATGGTGAGCTCAACAACAAGTGTGACAGCGGAGTCTTCCAGTAGCACTGAGGGTGCCACAATATCTGTAGAAACGTCTCCAACCATTTCGACTACTCTAGAAATCAGCTCAACTGAAAGAGTAAGTGAGGAAAGTACCACTCCCACTACGCCTGTTGAAAGTACAACTTTTGAGACTTCCTCTTCTGCAAGCTCAACAGAGAGTACAAATGAGACTCTAACTACCACAGGAGCAAGTACATATTCCACAACATCTGAGGAATTATCAACATTTTCAACTTCTTCTGCTAGTGAGGAAAGCTCAAGTGCCTCATCCTCTGTAACAAGCTTGGAAACAAGCACGAAGACATCTGAAGACACAACAACAACGCCACTTACAAGTACAACATATGAAACTTCCGGAATGGTGAGCTCAACAACAAGTGTGACAACGGAGTCTTACAGTAGCACTGAGGGTGCCACAATATCTGTAGAAACGTCTCCAACCATTTCGACTACTCTAGAAATCAGCTCAACTGAAAGAGTAAGTGAGGAAAGTTCCACTCCCACTACGCCTGTTGAAAGTACAACTTTTGAGAGTTCCTCTTCTGTAAGCTCAACAGAGAGTACAAATGAGACTCTAACTACCACAGGAGCAAGTACATATTCCACAACATCTGAGGAATTATCAACATTTTCAACTTCTTCTGCTAGTGAGGAAAGTACAAGTGCCTCATCCTCTGTAACAAGCTTGGAAACAAGCACGAAGACATCTGAAGACACAACAACAACGCCACTTACAAGTACAACATATGAAACTTCCGGAATGGTGAGCTCAACAACAAGTGTGACAGCGGAGTCTTCCAGTAGCACTGAGGGTGCCACAATATCTGTAGAAACGTCTCCAACCATTTCGACTACTCTAGAAATCAGCTCAACTGAAAGAGTAAGTGAGGAAAGTTCCACTCCCACTACGCCTGTTGAAAGTACAACTTTTGAGAGTTCCTCTTCTGTAAGCTCAACAGAGAGTACAAATGAGACTCTAACTACCACAGGAGCAAGTACATATTCAACAACATCTGAGGAATTATCAACATTTTCAACTTCTTCTGCTAGTGAGGAAAGTACAAGTGCCTCATCCTCTGTAACAAGCTTGGAAACAAGCACGAAGACATCTGAAGACACAACAACAACGCCACTTACAAGTACAACATATGAAACTTCCGGAATGGTGAGCTCAACAACAAGTGTGACAGCGGAGTCTTCCAGTAGCACTGAGGGTGCCACAATATCTGTAGAAACGTCTCCAACCATTTCGACTACTCTAGAAATCAGCTCAACAGAAAGAGTAGGTGAGGAAAGTTCCACTCCCACTACGCCTGTTGAAAGTACAACTTTTGAGACTTCCTCTTCTGTAAGCTCAACAGAGAGTACAAATGAGACTCTAACTACCACAGGAGCAAGTACATATTCCACAACATCTGAGGAATTATCAACATTTTCAACTTCTTCTGCTAGTGAGGAAAGTACAAGTGCCTCATCCTCTGTAACAAGCTTGGAAACAAGCACGAAGACATCTGAAGACACAACAACAACGCCACTTACAAGTACAACATATGAAACTTCCGGAATGGTGAGCTCAACAACAAGTGTGACAACGGAGTCTTCCAGTAGCACTGAGGGTGCCACAATATCTGTAGAAACGTCTCCAACCATTTCGACTACTCTAGAAATCAGCTCAACTGAAAGAGTAAGTGAGGAAAGTTCCACTCCCACTACGCCTGTTGAAAGTACAACTTTTGAGACTTCCTCTTCTGCAAGCTCAACAGAGAGTACAAATGAGACTCTAACTACCACAGGAGCAAGTACATATTCCACAACATCTGAGGAATTATCAACATTTTCAACTTCTTCTGCTAGTGAGGAAAGTACAAGTGCCTCATCCTCTGTAACAAGCTTGGAAACAAGCACGAAGACATCTGAAGACACAACAACAAAACCACTTACAAGTACAACATATGAAACTTCCGGAATGGTGAGCTCAACAACAAGTGTGACATCGGAGTCTTCCAGTAGCACTGAGGGTGCCACAATATCTGTAGAAACGTCTCCAACCATTTCGACTACTCTAGAAATCAGCTCAACTGAAAGAGTAAGTGAGGAAAGTTCCACTCCCACTACGCCTGTTGAAAGTACATCTTTTGAGACTTCCTCTTCTGCAAGCTCAACAGAGAGTACAAATGAGACTCTAACTACCACAGGAGCAAGTACATATTCCACAACATCTGAGGAATTATCAACATTTTCAACTTCTTCTGCTAGTGAGGAAAGTACAAGTGCCTCATCCTCTGTAACAAGCTTGGAAACAAGCACGAAGACATCTGAAGACACAACAACAACGCCACTTACAAGTACAACATATGAAACTTCCGGAATGGTGAGCTCAACAACAAGTGTGACAACGGAGTCTTCCAGTAGCACTGAGGGTGCCACAATATCTGTAGAAACGTCTCCAACCATTTCGACTACTCTAGAAATCAGCTCAACTGAAAGAGTAAGTGAGGAAAGTACCACTCCCACTACGCCTGTTGAAAGTACAACTTTTGAGACTTCCTCTTCTGCAAGCTCAACAGAGAGTACAAATGAGACTCTAACTACCACAGGAGCAAGTACATATTCCACAACATCTGAGGAATTATCAACATTTTCAACTTCTTCTGCTAGTGAGGAAAGTACAAGTGCCTCATCCTCTGTAACAAGCTTGGAAACAAGCACGAAGACATCTGAAGACACAACAACAACGCCACTTACAAGTACAACATATGAAACTTCCGGAATGGTGAGCTCAACAACAAGTGTGACAACGGAGTCTTCCAGTAGCACTGAGGGTGCCACAATATCTGTAGAAACGTCTCCAACCATTTCGACTACTCTAGAAATCAGCTCAACTGAAAGAGTAAGTGAGGAAAGTACCACTCCCACTACGCCTGTTGAAAGTACAACTGTGATAGTAGAGTTTTCAAGTAGCAGTCAGGATGCCACCATTTCTCAAGGGACATCTCCAATTATTTTGACTACTCTTGATATTACCTCTGGCTTGTCTTCGGGACATCCTACAACGGCATCGACCATTTCTAGTACAACGGAAGTTGTCTCAACATCTGTTTCAGACAAATCTAGTATAGGGTCCACAACAGGAATACAGGACACAACAGGAGATTCAACAAGTATGATGTCAACTGTAACTATACCAGACACAACTAATTTGGGATCCACTTCGGTTATATCAGACACAAGTGAACAGTTAACAACAATAGTGTCAAAGATAAGTGGTACGGTGTCCACGGCAACAACACCAAGGTCAATGGAAACATCAAAAGCTCAGGGATCAACAATTTCGGTTTCAACAACGAAAGAATCTTCAGGTGCAACCGTTCCATTGTCATCTACTGCGATTATCCCAGCCAGTTTATCAACAACCGAAGCTGTGCAGACAACTACTGAAATTTTAATAGATCCTAGCGTTATTATTTTGTATGTTGAGATAGATTTGAACGAAATCTGGAATGCAGATTTGTCAAACAGCAGTTCCGTGGCTTTTAAAAATAAATCTGCCAAAATTGAGTTAGAGGTACTTAGTCTCAATTCTAAATTTTGTCCTTATATATGATGAAATCTCCATAACACCCAACAGAGATTTAAGATTTAAATGCTTATGTTATCTTCCAGATTAACAATAGCCTTGGCAGTGGGAGCAATGTGTCTATCTACTACAACTCCAGTAAAGTCATATCTTACAGGTAAGATGATTATTTTTTGCGATATTGTTTTGGTTTGATCTATGTGAGTGTTCTTTGTTAAATGGCAGAAATATCTGGAAAACAAACCCTGTATTTTGACAACTACTTTTTATATAAATATTAACGACAATATTTTCATGACAGCAGAGAAAGGTAAGACTCCACATTAGAAGCTAAAATGCACTGTTGTCTGTATTGGCATCACAATTCATCAATATCATTATACATATTGCATTATATAGAGGTTCTTACCCAGGGAAAAAAAATCAATCAGGCGTCACTCAAAAATCAATTAAGATTATTTGTTTTCTTAAATTTACCTCAAAAATGTTAGTATATGTTTGTCGAGTGACTGAAATACAATGTATATCTCCTGTTTATTTTGTAATTATCATTCTTCGTATTCAAATTTTAAAAACTCTTTGATTTCAAGTTCACTTGCATAGTCAAGAATAATTATGAAAAAGGTAATAATAAAAGCATATATGCCCGTTTTAAACATAAAGGGAAAATAAATGCAAATAAAGTTTTCAATTACTCTTTTTTGATCTAATATAATTTAGAATACTTGATTCAATTACAAATTATAAATTATACAGTGCATATTGCAATTTAGTCTATTTCATGTCAAAAGGTGGATCAGTCTAATTACACAAAGTACCCTGTGCAGTGTAGAGAGGGTCCTAAAAGAGTTATTAAGTAGCTTCGTGTTACTAGCAACACATAGCAAGACAATAGATAAAAGATAATTATCAATGTAATAAGTCTGTAATTTGTAATATTTTCCTTCATTTTAACAGGGATATATATATATATATATATATATATATATATATATATATATATATATATATATACCTTGGACTGGTTTTCATTGTGGTCCTACATTACATTCCTGTAAATAGACAAAATCTGATAAAAACGACAAGAAATAAAATAAAACAAGGGCACCCCAAAAGGGGAGCATCCCCTCGCAAAGAGCATATATAAATCAAGACAGCATTCAACATCGATACCAATGCAAATTACGTCACTTCCGTTTCGCACAACGACAAACTAATACACACACAAACTAACACACTCTCGCACAAACAAACCCTCACAGACACCCTCACACACACAAGCGCGTAACTATGTCCCCTCCAACTCCGTTGCGAGGGGATAATAATACATATTGTATACAATAGAAAACAACGACTGGAGTGTTGACAATTGATACAATTTAAGCTTACATATTATCATTTATTTTAGCATTAGGTTTTACACACAAGTGCTTCATCTGTTTAGATCAGTGTATTTCTTGAGCAATTGTTGTCTCATGCTTTGATTTCTCTAATTTCATACCTTTGTTTCTTTTATAATTATTAGAGTGCTACATAGAGTGATGCTCAGCTATAGCTAGCTATCTTATTTCTTCATTTTATCTTTCATATATGTATGTATATATATATATATATATATATATATATATATATATATATATATATATATATATATATATATATATATATATATATATGACCGTGTAGTATAGAGCAGCGCCGCGAGAATTCCATCGGCATCGAAAGCAAGTTTTTTGACTTGCCTAGATAGCCGAGCGGTCTAGCGCGCTGTTCCTGTACTGCTAGGAGACAGATTCCGTAGGTCGAGAGTTCAACCCCGGGCTGGGGCGGAAGTGGGTATCCTTATAAAAGTGAATTTCTTTGTGCTTTCTATATTAATATTTCTTCACTTAGGGCAGTTATGTTAGTTTAAGAGTTGTTGTAAAATGTGCTTTATAAATAAAAATTAATTTCATTACAACGTGTATTGGTAACAATCCTCTAATAAAACTAATGTCCAAATAACTGTATCTCACTTCCATTCTCAATGACCGTGTAGTATAGAGCAGCGCCGCGAGAATTGCATCGGCATCGAAAGCAAGTTTTTTGACTTGCCTAGATAGCCGAGCGGTCTAGCGCGCTGTTCCTGTACTGCTAGGAGACAGATTCCGTAGGTCGAGAGTTCAACCCCGGGCTGGGGCGGAAGTGGGTATCCTTATAAAAGTGAATTTCTTTGTGCTTTCTATATATATATATATATATATATATATATATAATGATTATTTCAATTTATTTAGTTCACCTAGTCATGTAGTTAATTCATTTAAAATCGATTTGCATGTTACAGTAATGGAAGCATTCACGTCCTGTGTGAGGTATATTATTCCATATCCCATGTCCACGTGACAGGAAGTAACAACAACTTAGTATCACTCGTCAACTCAACGCTGTACAAATCCTTATCCTTAAACATAATTCCAGGATCCATTATCGTCTATTGTAAGTAAACTGCTGTCGATATATTTAAGTTGATAAAATGTATAAAGTATAGTCTATTTAAAGAATAATACGCATTATTGAAAATTGTAGTAAAAAAGACGGAGGAGTCTCCCGATTTATCATCCTCAACAGCTCGTGAGTATTTAAGAATTACATAAATATCCATTCTTTAAATAACTTCCTTGGTTCAACGAAGCTTGCTTGAAATGCCATCAATTCTTGTTCTTTCAATTATTCGTAAATCTGTTAAATATATTCCAGTTATCATCATCGGTGTCGTCACAGCCCTTGGTCTGTTATTTATGGTTCTCTGTTCCATCTGCTTCATCCTTGCCTACAAAAGGTATACAGATGTATTCAATGTCAATAACACCACATTGTCATCTTATCATTGCGTTAGATATAAGTACATGTATCTTTAAATGGGGAATGTTTTTTTATATTTCATTTACCTATTTAGATTTCGCAGAAAACGAAGAGTAGCCCATAAAGATCCGAATTTGGACGAATCTGAAACGGGAAGTTACCGTAGTTCGGAGGACCTCTCGATTGAAGATGATGACGAGGACTACCATAGCAGTGACTTTAAATTTGATATTCCTTCCTTCGTAATGGCGACTAGGGGCGTCCCACCCAGTGCACACATGTGGACAAGGGAGGATACTCTACCTCACATAAGGAAGGCCAGGAGAGAAAAAGAGATGTTACCAACTCAGGACAACTTAGCCTACCTCAACGAATTTTGTCATGAGGCCAAAGTTCCTACGGAACGGCCTCCGAGTTACGATAAAATATCGCCTCCCTTTAAAAGGGATTCGAGCGGTATTTTAGACGCACATTTACTAGAAAAACACGACAATATATCAGCACCATCAGAGGAAGCTCGGGACAGACCATCAACATCTGCACAAGCAGATGAAGTAGAAAGAGCTTTATCCGTTGTCGGATCTCCAAGATCAAGTGCAACATCAAGAAACAGATCTGCTTCCTCTAACATTTCTCATACTTGGTCCGGTGCCTCACCCGGAGTAAGTGACAATGTCCCTTCTTCAAAATCCGTGTCCGAAAATTCGGACAGAACTTCAGGGAGAGACAATTCAGATGAGTCTGCTGTGCCAAAGAAAGTTCGAAGTAAACGCACTAAGAAGAAGCCCTATATTCCTCTAAGTAAACGGCTTCCAAAGCCAGTAAAACCCAAAATATATAAATCCAATCAGCCTTTGAAGGTACACAAATCAAAGTTACAAGAGAGGTTAAAAGAAATCGCTAAAGAAAACGAAGAAAGGCTGTATAATCCACACGGAGAAGCGTGGAGAAATCTTGTGACCAAGATATTTCCACAGGATGAGTCCAAAAATGAGTCGGAATGTTAATAAATGCTTATATCTGGAACAATAGACCCTTCACCAATAGTAAATGACAGTTATTGTATTACAATTAAACATTGATTATTTAATTTATAAACAACGGTGACTATGAATATGTGATTATATTTGATCTATTTTTTATACATTCCTTTATATACATTTTTGTAATTTATATACATCATTTTTCAATAAATTGTTGATAAATATGTACATGTATTAATAATTATTTTCTGTGTTAAGGAGGGATTCCGGTTTGGTTTCTGAATGAAGTAAATATTCAAAGTATATTTGCTGAAATTCCTTTATATTTAGATTTTAAGAATTTAAAAGATCATATTCTTCTTTCCTTCTTATGATTGTACATATTTAAATAGGAATGGCAAACTGTATTTGATATATGGGCGGAACGGGGGCGTATGAAAATACCTCCTTATCTGCTTCTCAAAAGTAGATTTTTTAAAATTCGTGATGTCAAGAAAAAAGATAATGACCTTGACTTGACCTTGCTCCTAGGATAAAACGGTCAATTTCAATCTAATTGATATTTTAAATATAATAAATGGACCGCTCTCTGGGAAAAGGGGTCTTAATGAGAAAATTTGCGAAATTGACTTTTTCAAATATTTCAAATCTACAACAAATTTAGGACACACAGTAAAGATTTGAGCATTTAATTTGCTATAGTTTTAAAGCTATGCGTATTTTAACACGACATGTTGTAATGAAAAGATAACGTCATTGACGTTATTCAATAACGTCATCTTTATTTTTAAAAATGGGTCTTAAAAACACAGACTTTCAACAACGTTATCTTTGTAAAAAAAAAAATGACGTTTAAGAAACAGAGACTAAATTTAATTTGATGAAAAAGTAGAATAACTTAATTTTTTCCTTACATTTTGAATAAAAATATCACTAAGCACATTTATTAAATTATAAAGTGTGTGTATCTGTACATGTTGCACAGCGAATGACATTATGTTCATGTATGTTAAATTAATTTCATAAGGGTAGACTACAAATCTTCTTTCAATAAATGTTGAAAACGACTAATAAAATAACTATGGTTACAAAGAAATAGGAAACTAAATACAAAACAAAGCTACATGTAAGTATCATTACATGTACGTTATTCAAGCGGTTAACAGGCTTGATGGGAAAATGCTTCCGAGCGTCAGCCATAAAAGTTAACGCTAGATGGTACAATGTACAGGTAGGCGAACACGAGTTATCGTTCATAGTTCGAGTTATCGTTCATTATGTAGTAGATCTATTCACTCGTACGTGGAATATTCGACATGTGTTAAAAATTTGGATTATGGTTAAAATAACTGGTCTATTCTGGTTACAATTTCTCGTCTTTTAAAATGACTTCTGCTATTAATGAAATTTATTCTTCTACGGACATAATACCAGGCTCTGTACTTTGAAATCAGTGGTAATTTTGTATTTCCCGTAGAGGCTTAGAAAAATCTTCCAAGCAACTGTCATGCAGGGTACTCTGGAGCTGAGATTGCGACTGAGAAAACTGGTCCACAATTGTTTCAGGCTAATTAATGAATTGGTCTCTTTTTTTTGAAACGTTTTTTGATTAAAACAAATCCACCATCAATGCTGCAAAGTGTATGACATTGAACTTGCATCATATACTGATTTGTCCTGCTGTCCCGTCATAATACGCCACATAAAATACATTTATTCCAATAATACTTTTTTTTGTTTTGGCCGTTGCAATTATCAGTATGAATTGTACATATAAGTTCTGTATTCAGAAAACGACTAGTTTAAATAATGGAATCTGGCCCATGTGTATTTGTAGCTTCACACACTATAGTTTCACGTTAAGAATTTTTTTTAAAAAAATGGGATATCGTCTATTCGGAAACCAAAGATCTGGATTTTGCAGAGTCTCGATTATAGAGAGGCCCCATTTGGAGAGCATAGCAAAGTATAACTCAATGGAAGCGGAAAATCAGTTCTTGTGATGTCACTGTAGAATACCACATGGTGTCCGAGAGAAGTTTTAGGCGTTGAAACTGCCAAGCTTCAAATAAAATTAAATAAACCAGAACTCTATTTAAATGATGTTTGCCGAGTTAATAAATAATAAAATAACTTACACGCATAAATTTAACTTGCTATATATATTTTTGAATATGTTATTTAAAAAGTGTAACGAAATAAGATTAAAGTAGACTTAACATGTTGTGCACAGGCTGTAGGAGGCACTTTTAGTTGAAAGGGGAGGGGGATCAGCTTAACAGAAAAAAAGTTAACTAAACCAAAAAAAAAGTCACATTACTTTTGAGGTGCACATCTGAGACTTATCTTTATATTCTTTTGTAAAGTATTTACTGGTAAAGTTTTTAGGGGTAAAACTTTTAATAAGCTTTGTTTTCTATTGTGAAGTACATAATGGTAAATTATTGCACCCTCCCCTTCTCCGGTTTCTATGGTACTGATGTCTTACAATGCAATTTTAGGTCAAATCTCTCCATGAGCGAGGTTGTGTAAAATTAAATCAAATACATGTAATTTATAAGAATTACTTATTTCAATAAAAACACAAATTAAATAATGTACTTCCACAGACACCTCAAGAGTGAATAAAGTACATGTACTTATCGTCACCCCCTCCCCCTTCTTTTCGGATGGTGTTTAAGTTGAGTTACTTTTCAGGATATGCTCTATTAGAATCAAAACAACCATCTTTGAGACACTTGCAATTTTTGGTGTGAATATCTTTGCTTTTGAATTCTTAATAAAATTACAGAATAATAAGAATGACAGGTTTGACGAAGAATGTTTTTAAAAATATAGGATCGTTACATTTTGGTTATATTACGGGGAGGGGGTTAGTCCATCTTTGCTATATAATGATCTTGGCTAGCGAAGATAGGGGTAAGTCATGAAGATAAGTATGTTATCCATATTTCATCCAAATTCAGATGCCTGTGATATATCAGTATCCAACTCTCTCTATCCCTCTTTTGGCTTTACACCATTATGTACCGGAATCAAGCCAGGATCCAAGATTTTTTTTTTCCGGAAGGTGGGGGGATTCCACACCAGTAAAAAAATCATAACCATAAAGTTTTTTTGTTGACGAGCAAAAAGAAGCAAACAAAAACGTACACTCCTTTCAAACGTGAAAAACTTATTTCGTAAAGGTGGTGGATCAGGGGTGGGCTGTAGAGGTAGAAACGCTTTCCTTCACTTCTTAAGCTTCAAAAGTATTACTCCTCCTCCAATCTTAAAAATTGTCCTTGTTTTCCCGGAGAGGAAGAGGGTCCAAGGTAATTTTTTCGTTACTTTACTATCTACATTAGATTACTAACTCCACATTTTTTTGGAGGGGGGGGGGGGGGGTTCCGGATCCCCTCTGGATCCGCGAATGGGAATAAAATATTATATGTACAGATAAGTTTTGATATTGATTAGATAAAATTATTATTCTTTCAGTGAAATAATCGGGAATTTTATATACATCATAAAATCCTGAAGCAACGCCGGCGTTAAAACAAAAGTACAACATTTCAAACGTGGAAAACTTGCTT